CAAGGTGGTGAATTTGTCGTTTGAAATAGGAGTCATTGTAATACAAGATCGGCAGATTTTTTTGTAAATCTTGAATTATTTCGGTATGCTGTTCATAGTTGGTTATCAACATGATTTGGTAAATCTTTGGATCATTTTTCAATTTTCTTATAACGGTTTGAGACCATTTGGATCTGTCTTCCTTCATTTGGATAATTTCAGACCTCGTCACAAAGTTCTTTTGACTAACTTCAAAAACCATCAAAATAATGAAAAGCAGGAATGCAGTTTGTGTCTTCATTTTTTCTGTATCTATAAAGAAATTGCACAATCAGAATTTAATGAATTAGTCATTGAATAAACTTAATAGTTCATTTTTCTTTGAAATTAATTTTTGTTTTATGCAGTTGTATTTAAAAAACTAAATACACATTGATTCTGCATATTTGTATTTTTTGTTAATGGGTAAGATTCTGTCAAAAAATAAGCGATTTGCAAATGGTCTCGGCTTAATCTACAGTTTGGTATAATTATAGTATTGGGTAAGAGAAATTAAAATACCAAATGATTTTTGAAAATTTTCAAAATTGTATAAGTTACGTTAGAATAAGTAGAACCAAACATCTAGGCTTTAAAAAAATTGAAAATTCAATAAGAGGCCGTCCATAAACTACGTTACCATTTTTTCATTATCTTTAGACCCCCTATCCCCTAGTTACCATTGCGTTGAATGCATTTTTATAGACTTTTTGACTCCCTCCCCCCCAAAAATAGTAACGTAGTTTATGGATGACCTCTAAATGTCGGAAAATATTCGAAATTTATCAAAAATATTTAGGAATTTTATTTATTCCAAATGCAACATATTTAAATTTAATTTACATCCGTTAAAAAGACTCGGAAATATTAATATTTAAAAAATATATATAAAAAATTCAAAATGACGTAACTTTTACAATTTTGAATATTTTCAAAAACCCTTTCGTATTTTAAATTCTCTTACCCAATACTATAATTTCTCCGGAGACCACTTGAAAAATTCCCATTTTTTGACGAAGTCAACTTAATGTTTATTGATTTTCTTATAATAATGCAAAATAAAAATTGAAAATATTTTTGAAATAATTTGAAATTTTGTATTAGATTACATGAGAAGATTAAAAATATGAAATTGGGACGAAATTTTTGTGTTTAAAACAGAGCAATTGACAGGTTACCCTTTATATTTTTTATCTTACATTTGGCTTTTTATTTTATTGTTGTACAATCTTTACCACCTCAAGTTTCATACTAAGTATATTTTTTGTTTCGTGCTTGGTTGTGTAGCAACGAAAATTTCTAAAAAATTAAGCTTCTTTATTTATTGATTTATCAAAGGTCAAGTTTGATGATAGACATTATGAAGGTTGGTATTGGAAACTCAGGCACAAAAGTTGTATAGATTTTTACTCGAATTATTGTATAAAAGCATTCTACATAAATTCTACAGAACATAATATCTTACTGACTAATTATTGTTGCACTTTAAATTAAGTCTGAATGCAACTTATTTTGAGTTCTGGTTTTTTTGTGATGAGTAGAAAAATTATCGATAGTTTTGTTGAATTAGTTACTATTAACACCGAGAAAAAAGGTTTGAGCTGACAACCAAATATTTCATTCAATATATGTGCAACTAAAATTTTTTGGTTGACACAACTAAACTTTAGTTGACAACAACCAAAGTTTGTTTTAGACGACTAAATAAGAAAATGAAAAAGAATTTGGTAGTCTCAACCAAACTTTGGTTGATGTCAACTGAAGTTTAGTTGTGTCAACCAAAAAATTTTAGTTGCACATATATTAAATGAAATATTTGGTTGTCAGCTCAAACCTTTTTTCTCAGTGAGTAAATTAGTATTATAATGAGTAATCAAATCCTTCATGAAGAAGAATTAACCCTTCGAAAGTGTGGTTGGGTATCTCATACTCCAGTACTTACTCTCAAATTTTATGAAAATAAAAAATTTATATTAAAAAAGGTAATATACCAAATTATAATTTTAAGACAATAAATAAATATTGTTTATTAGACACCTTTTTATAATTTAATACTATAATTAACCGAAAACAATCACTTACAAACATTTAGAGGCAGTTTTAGTCTTGGGTATGTCATACCCAACCAAATACTCGGTGTAACACTCTCGATGGGTTAACTCATCTATTGAACTGATTTCCAGCTTCAGTCATCATCTTTTTTGCCTTCTCAAGAGCTGATTGATCCGTATTGATAACCAACGCGGTGAAACACTCCTTGTTAGACTTGTATCCGATTTAAATAAGGAGATTTATATTTTTTGTAGCTCTATAGTAGCTACTTCCATCCAGTTATGGTTAACGTCCAAATTGACCTCCTTACAAAACATATCCAAAACGTCAGCAAACGGATATCCACAAGTGATTCTGACAACCATAGTCGAGTCTCTCGTCACCTTCTTCTTCCTTGTAGATCTCTGTGGCTTCGGTTCCTCCGTTGACTTCGAGTCATTCCTTTCTGAAAGCGCTTCCTCCTATTTCTTCTTTCGACCCTGTGTCGAAAGGACTGTTTTTTTCTGGACTACGCTTATTTTGTGTTTCTTGGCCTTCTTGATGACTCGTCTTATCGCTCTTTTTTTGTACCTGATCTTCATATTATTCTAATAAACATTAAAATGATACCTTTAAAGTTATTGCGACTTTCCTCTTCCCTTACACTTGCCAATAATTAGTTCAACACAAAATAAAATAATTGCTGTGGAATAACCAGCAATCATTATCAACACCAGTAAGGACCTTAACTTCCACTCATCATCACTCTTGTTCCATTTCTGTAATCTTTCTTCTGACATGGTACTTAGTTGTTGATCCAGTACCTTCTTTATTTTCCATTCTTTTAATAATGCAAATTCCATGAATAATGTGTGTAGGTGTTGAAATTTCTCAACATATGGAGATCCGGGTTCCAAATAATATCCAACTCCCATAGAGAGAATAAATTCTGGAACGAAATTCACAAGATTTTGTTCTCTATATAATCCAGCGTGCCATTCAGCAAGTGATGATCTCATAATACAAGTTATATTTTTGTATTTGAGAAGAAAATCAATACAATGATTATATGTTAATATTCGACTATTTTTTGTCCATGTTTTCAAATCATTTTGATTAATAATTTCGGGTAAATATACTACTGCATTGAATTCAGAACTGAATTGAAGACCACTATTGATTAAATCGTTCAAAGAATTTATTTCTCTTTCATTTTCCAGTCGAAAATTAAAATCAGTCAACGATTCTAAAATGTTGAAAGAATAATAAAAATTCACTATTAAGAAGCATCCGAAAATGATACGTTCTATTAATTTTTTTGGCTGATTCTTCACAGAGACTCCAAATAAAATTTGAAGAATCACCGTCCAATTCCAAATATGTTTCTCAAACTTGAAAATTTTCAGGATTACCCAGCTAGTTATTGTAATCAAGGCAGTTAGCAAAATTGAATAATAGAATGTTTTACCTACCACAAATAAAAAATTATTTGATGACATTAATACTGGAGTGATTGCAATAAACTGCTCTACACCAAAAATTGCATACTCGAACATTTCCTTTGTGCAAATATTTTTGGTTACTATACTTGATACACCAATGACTTGGATTTTATTTTGTTGAATCGCAGAGAAAAACTTGGTTAAGTTATCTGTATTGCAATCGAATTTACCAAGATTGTAAACATTACCTGGTATTAATACTTGTTTGTAATTCATCACTTCAGCAAAAATTTTACCAACTTCTCCATCTCGACCAGAAATATCTAAATGATTTGTTGAATTTCGTCTCCATTGTAAGAAAGGTGGTCTGTTAAAAATTCCAACCTTTATTGGATATCCATTCAGATTGCGAAGTTTATTAGGGAACAATTCTATTCTTCTGGACAGTGGTTTTATTTTGTAGGAAACAAACGGATTCAAATCATGAATTGTTGCTCTTTCATTATGAACATCTACGATGGTCACATCTAGGAAGGAATCATGCCACATCTTTTGGAAAAATTTTGCATAATCCGATCTTTGATTATACTCCAAAAAGCGAAGAATTAGACATCGTGGTCGAATACGAACAGTTGACAATTTTTTAATTAAACCCATCATTTCTTCTGTCCATTGCGTGTTGTTTTTGTCTGCAGATTCGAGAAGAAAGAACAATGTAGTATCTCGTGGACTACTCAAAGAAATCTTTTGTTCAAGGTGGTGCATTTGACGTTTGAAATAGGAGTCATTGTAATACAAGATCGGCAGATTTTCTTGTAAATCTTTAATTATTTTGGTATGCTTTTCATAGTTGGTTATCAACATGATTTGGTAAATCTTTGGATCATTTTTCAATTTTCTTATAACGGTTTGAGACCATTTGGATCTGTCTTCCTTCATTTGGATAATTTCAGACCTCGTCACAAAGTTCTTTTGACTAACTTCAAAAACCATCAAAATAATGAAAAGCAGGAATGCAATTTGTCTCTTCATTTTCTGTATCTATAAGGAAATTGCATAATTAGAATTTAATGAATTAGTCATTGAAAAAACTAAATAGTCCATTTTTCTTTGAAATTAATTTTTGTTTTATGCAGTTGTATTTAAAAAAACTGAATACACATTGATTCTGCAAATTTGTATTTTTTGTTAATGGGTAAGATTCTGTCAAAAAATAAGCGATTTGCAAATGGTCTCGGATTAATCTACAGTTTGGTATAATTATAGTATTGGGTGAGAGAAATTAAAATACCGAATGATTTTTGAAAATTTTCAAAATTGTATAAGTTACGCAGGGCCGTACCGACGTAGGTGCAGCCGGTGCGGTGCACCGGGGCCCCCGGCGACCAGGGGCCCCCGAGACCAAAATGAAATTTAAGTTTTTATTAAGTTTTTATATAATCGGCTTAAAAATTATTAATTAATTTTTTTTCAATATGCTAATTTTGCTAAAAATAAATAACTAAAATAGCAAATTCAAAAAATGTTAATAATTTTACAATAGTAGTAATAGTATTAAATTTAAAATTTGCGCCAATTTCACAAATCTGCAGTCATATTTTGCGCACGCGCAAGTGTATGCTTCTGTAACTGACTTCAAGCAACAGCTGTCAGAGACAACAATGCAATTCGGTATTTTATGCAATAGATATATACTTTAAGTGCAATAAATCTTGTTGGAGTCAAATATGAAACGCATTTACTCGAGTGGTCATCAAAAAAGGGCAGAGAAAAGGCGTAGAGAAAACGCAAGTATTGAAAACACAAAAAAATTGACATCTTGGTTTAGTAATAAACGAGAAGAAAAAGAAGAAGAAGAAAGAGTCGAAGAAAGAATCCAAGAAAAATGTGCCGATGGATTTGATTGTAAATAAAATTGACTTAAATTTCAGTATATTTATTATAAATTAGCTATTCGAGCCCCATTCCGGGTCCAAATAACCTCAATCTTTTCTAATTCCGCCCTCCGAATCGGGTCTGAAATGGCTGGAGTCAAAATTTTATGGAATACTTTTGTAAATAAACTTTGCTTTTTTATCTACTTATACATTTTATATACATATATAATTTCAGACTCTAAAGAGACTGACTTTTGTGAGTCCATTTCTTCCGGTGAAGAAATAATTTCGATGGATACTTTAAATAAGTCAGAAATATTACAAAATTCACCCAGTACAATAAAATCGGGCGAAGATGTGGTTTGTGATAAAAGCGCAGACTTTCCTCAGGTTTGGTATATAATATAATACGTATTGTTTCAAGTTAAAAAACAACAAATTCATAATAAATGCATTTATACCGTATAACACTCGTCTTACGCGTTTGCGTTTTTTCAGGAACTTGTTGATGTTGAAAAATCTTCTGATTCGTCTAATATCTTTCCGGATGTTATAACTGATAAGAAAATCAAACTAGCTATTATTTTATCCGGTCCAAATCAACCACCAGGTCCTTTTCCACGAGACGAAAATCAAGAAAATCGTTCTTTCTCAAATGGGTATTACTTCACCATCGCAAAATCTGGATTGAAATTAAATAGAAATTGGCTGTGCTATTCATCTGAATTAGATTGTGTTTATTGCCAACCTTGTTGGCTGTTTCCTCAGGAAGCAGTTGCTGTATCTTCAGCACATAATGTGTGGATCAGAGGTGTGAGAGACTGGAGGCACCTTTCGGAGCGAATTAAATCTCACGAAACTTCACAAAATCATACAAATTCATGTCTGCTTTACGAACAATGGCGAAAAAATGGACCAATCGAGAAAGCATTCGAAGAAGATTTTAAAAGAAAACAAAATTTTTGGCGCAAAGTAATAGAACGACTTTTAGATGTAACACTTATGATGGCTTCTTGTAATCTTGCTTTTCGTGGAAGTTGCGAAAATATTCAGGATCGTGGAAAAGGAAATTTTTTGTCTATTGTGCAGCTTCTCGCGAAATACGATCCCATTTTGCAAGAACTATTAGAACTTCCGAATGGATCTGTGAATTATTTAGGTCCTAAATCACAAAACGAATTTATATCAGTCCTATCAAAACAAGTTCTCAACGAAATCGAGAATGAAATACGAAATGCTCTTTTTTTCTCGATAATTCTAGATTCAACTCAAGATAAAAGAAAAGTTGATCAATTGAGTCAAGTTTTCCGGTATGTCAAAATTGTTTATGACTCTGTTGGTAAACCGCTGGAACTCAAAATATGTGAAGTGTTTACAGGGTTTCGAGAAATTAATGATCCAACTGCTAAGGGTCTCGCAGATCTTGTCCTTGAATTAATTAACGAAAAAAATTTACAAATAACAAAATGCTGTGGGCAAGCTTACGATGGCGCAGCTGTCATGAGCGGTGAATTAAATGGTCTTCAAAAACGAATTAGAGAAATAGCTCCTTATGCGTATTTTGTTTATTGTACATCGCATAAATTAAATTTGATACTGAATGATGCGGTTTCACAAACTCCAGAAATCACCCGGTTTTTTGAGTCAGTTCAAGACATATACAATTACTTTGGGAAAAGTATAGTTCGCTGGAAAAATCTCCAGTTTTCCAATGAAGATGAAACCTCAAAAACTTCAAACATTACTCTCAAAACATTGAATCCCACTCGTTGGGTTGGTCGGTATGATGCTGTTTACGCGCTTAAGGTTAGATTAGGCGATGTTCTAAAAAATTTGTCACGTATCGTTCTTACCAGCAAGAAACCTGACGAGAGGAATGCAGCATTAGGACTTCAAAAAAAAATTGAAAGACTTGAATTTATATTATTGTTAATCATTCAGTGCAAAATCCTAGAAAAAGTCAACATCGCATCTAAAGCTCTTCAGTCGAAAGAACTCGAACTTTCTTCAGCGCACGATCACCTCGAAAATGCTTATTCAGAGGTCGCAAATCTTCGTAATTCTTTCGGCGATTTTCGTGTTGAAGCTTCTGAATTGTGTGCTAAATTGAATATTCTGGATCAATTCGAAGAAAAAAGAAAACGAAGAAAAAAGAAACACTTTGAAGAGCTTTGTGAAGATGAAAGACTTACTGATCCTGAAAAACTCTTCAAAGTTTCCATTTTTTATCCAATGATTGATTCTATTTGCTCACAGTTGAAACATAGATTCGAGGGAATGCATTTGCTTCTGCAAACATATAAAGTCGTGCAACCACAATTTATTGTCAATGCAAGCGAACAAGAATTAACATTGGAGGCTGAAAAATTTGTTCAAACAATTCCTGAACATATATCCAGATCTTTTCCTGCTCAATTGTTATCAATTAAATCTGCTTTCAGCTCTGAAATAAAGCGAATGAAAACTGTCAAGCAGCTAGCTGATTTTCTTATTATTGAAAACAGTTCTTTAATGTCGAATTTTTCTGATGTTTACACTGCTTGTATTATGTATCTGACTATCCCAGTAACAGTTGCATCAGCTGAAAGATCTTTTTCTAAACTGAATCTCATCAGAACTTATTTGCGGACTTCAATGGGTCAGGAAAGATTAAGTGAATTAGCTATTTTATCGATCGAGAATGAGAGAGCCCGAAAGATTGATTTTACGAAAACGATTGACGATTTTGCCACTATGAAATCAAGAAAGAAATCTTTTTAAACGTAATAATGCGCAACACAAAGAACTTTTTACACTAGTGATGTTTCTGTGATATTAGTCTTTTAAGGATATCTAAGTCTTTAATTTGTAATAATTTGACAGTTATAATGAATACTAAATAGTTAAAGAAACCACTTGTGATATTGAAAATTTGTCTTACAGAGTATATTAAAAATTAAAACAAACATAGTTTTTTTCAGTAAACCTTTTCCTTAAGAGGGCCCCCGGAGTTTTTCTGCACTGGGGCCCCCAAGACTGTCGGTACGGCCCTGAAGTTACGTTACAATAAGTAGAACCAAACATGTAGGCTTTAAAAAAAATAGAAAATTCAATAAGAGGCCGTCCATAAACTACGTTACCATTTTTTCATTATCTTTAGACCCCCTAGTTTCTAGTTACCGTTGCGTTGAATGCTTTTTTATAGACTTTTTGATTCCCTCCCCTCCAAAAATAATTAACGTAGTTTATGGATGACCCCTAAATGTTGAAAAATATTTGAAATTTATCAAAAATATTTGTTAATTTTATTTATTCCAAATGCACCCTATATTTTTTTTATCTTACATTTGGCTCTTTATTTTACTGTTGGACAATCTTTACCACCTCAAGTTGCACACTAAGTTTGTTTTGTGTTTGGTTGTGTAGCAACGAAAATTTCTGAAAAATTAAGCTTCTTTATTTATTGATTTATCAAAGGTCAAATTTGATGACAGACATTATGAACTTTAGTATTTGAAATTCAGGCACAAAAATTGTATAGATTTTTACTAGAATTATTATATAGAACATATTATAGAACTTCTTCATGAACTCTAGTAAGTATTTTACAGCAGAAATCATATATTTAACAAGGTTGCAATATGCATTTATTTAATTCAACACGTGATGTAATGAAAAATTTTGCAAAATATTTGTTTGTAATTCACCTAGTTATAATATTAATTTAACTTATTAACTTATCATCACAGAAAAACTGAACTCAAAATGAGTTTAATCGAACTCAATTTGTACTGCAACAAAAATTAGACAATGCTAAACGAAATAGAACGTGGCAACATCTTACTGACTAATTTTTGTTGCACTTTAAATTAAATCTGAATTCAACTCATATTGTGTTCAGATTCGTTTAGAAATGAATGGAGAAATTATCGATAATTTTGTTGAATTAGTTACTATTAATAAATTATTAGTATTGATTATTTTATTAGCTACGAGAGGGAGAGTAAGAAATCCTTTATGAAGTTCTGGACCATTAACTCACCTATGGAAGTAACTTCCGGCTACAGTCTTCATCATTTTGGCCTCCTTAAAAGCAGATCTGTCAGCTTTGATAACGTTCTCGGTTAAACACTTCTTGTTAAATTTGTCTCCTAGTTAAATAGGATCTCCAATTTTTGTAGCTCTAGCAGTTACTATCCTCGTGTGGTTAACATCCATATTGACTTCCTTGCGAAGCTTATCAAAAACGTCAGCATATGGATATCCACAAGTGATTCTGACAATCATAGTCGAGTCTCTCGTTACCTTCTTTTTCCTTTCAGAACTCTGTGGCTTCGATTCCTCAGTTGCCTTCCCGTCGTTCAAAGTCTTCAACAATTTCAGGACTTAACGACGTGTTGGCCTTTTCTTCAGATTATTCTAATAATCATTAAAATGATACCTTTAAAGTTATTGCGACTTTCCTCTTCCCTTACACTTGGCAATAATTAGTTCAATACAAAATAAAATAATTGCTGTGGAATAACCAGCAATCATTATAAACACCAGTAAGGACCTTAACTTCCATTCTTCATCACTCATGTCCCATTTGTGTAATCTTTCTTCTGACATGGTACTTAGTTGATGATACTTTATTTCCTTCATTATTTCCCATTTTTTTAATAATGCAAATTCCATTATTAATGTGTGTAAGTGTTGAAATTTCTCAACAAACGGAGATCCTGGTGCCAAAGTATATCCAATTTCCATAGAAACAATAAATTCTGGAACGATTTTTACAAGATTTTGTTCTCTATATAATCCAGCGTACCATTCCGCAATTGATGATCTCATAATACAAGTTATATTCTTGTATTTGAGAAGAAATTCAAGACAATCAGAGTGCGTCGTAAATGATCGACTATTTTTTGTCCATGCTGTAAAATCTTTTTGATTAATAATTTCCGGTAAAAGTTCTACTGTATTGAATTCAGAACTGAATTGAAGACTGCTGTTGATTAAATCGTTTAATGAATTTATTTCTCGCTCATTTTCCAATCGAAAATTAAAATCAGTCAACGATTCTAAGATGTTAAAAGAATAATAAAAATTTAGCATAATGAAGCATCCGAAAATGATACGTTCAACTAATTGTTTCGGTTGATGTTCCACGGTGACCCCAAATAAAATTTGAAGAATCACTGTCCAATTCCAAATATGTTTCTCAAACTTGAAAATTTTCAGGATTACCCAGCTAGTTACTGTAATCAAGGCAGTTAGCAAAATTGAATAATAGAATGTTTTACCTACCACAAATAAAAAATTATTTGATGACATTAATACTGGAGTAATTGCAACAATTTGTTCTACATCAAAAATTGCATACTCGAACATTTGCTTCTTGCAAAAATTTTTGATTACTACAGTCGATACACCAATGACTTGGATTTTATTTTGTTGAATCTCAGAGAAAGAATTTGTTAAGTTGTCTGTATTGCAATCTAATTTACCAAAATAGTATAAATTGACTGGTACCAATACTTGTTTGTAATTCATCACATCAGCAAAAATTTTTCCAACTTCTCCATCTCGACCAGAAATATCTAGATGATTTATTGAATTACGTCTCCATTGTAGGAAAGGTGGTCCATTAAAAATCCTAATCTTTATTGGATATCCATTCAGATTGCGAAGTTTATTAGGGAACAATTCTGTTCTTCTGGACAGTGGTTTTATTTTGTAGGAAACAAACGGATTCAAAACATGAATTGTTGCTCTTTCATTAGAAACATCTACGATGGTCACATCTAGGAAGGAATCATGCCACATCTTTTGGAAAAATTTTGCATAATTCGATCTTTGATTATACTCCAAAAAGCGAAGAATTAGACATCGTGGTCGAATACGAACAGTTGACAATTTTTTAATTAAACCCATCATTTCTTCTGTCCATTGCGTGTTGTTTTTGTCTGCAGATTCAAGAAGAAAGAACAATGTAGTATCTCGTGGACTACTCAAAGAAATCTTTTGTTCAAGGTGGTGAATTTGTCGTTTTAAATAGGAGTCATTGTAATACAAGATCGGTAGATTTTCTTGTAAATCTTGAATTATTTCGGTATGCTTTTCATAGTTGGTTATCAACATGATTTGGTAAATCTTTGGATCATTTTTCAATTTTCTTATAACTGTTTGAGACCATTTGGATCTATCTTCTTTCATTTGGATAATTTCAGACCTCGTCACAAAGTTCTTTTGACTAACTTCAAAAATCATCAAAATAATGAAAAGCAGAAATGCAATTTGTGTCTTCATTTTCTCTATCTGCAATTAAAATTTTGTAGAAACGAATTTCGTTAATTGAGTGATAATTTTAGACTTTGACACAAAATACGAAATTTTTTTGTATTTACCTTACTGTTTCACTGTTGTACAATCTTTACCACCTCAAGTTTCAAATTGTTTATTTCTTTTGTTTCGTGTTTGGTTGTGTAGCAACAAAAAAATATTTTAAAAAATAAAGTTTCTTTATTTATTGATTTATCAGAGGTCATGTTTGATGATAGACATTAGAAGAAATGTTGTACTGGAAGAATAAAATGTCAATTTCTTTCTATAACTGTACTAAATCTGAAACAAAACATTGATTTATCTTCTTCCTATATTACAAAAAGATATCGCCGCCACCGCTGTTTCAATACTCTGAATATAGCCGCAAGTGGAGGTGTATTCCCCGCCAAAAATGAACTGAATTTAGAGGTTATGTTCGTTTCAAAACTCTGAATATGGCCGCAATACCCCCCCCTTTTTTTGAGGAGCGGGGGTGGATTTTCCGCCAAAAATGATCTGAATTTAGAGGTTATGTTCGTTTCAAAACTCTGAATATAGCCGCAATCCCCCCCTTCTTTGAGGAGCGAGGGTGGATTTCCCGCCAAAAATGATCTGAATTTAGAGGTTATGTTCGTTTCAAAACTCTGAATATGGCCGCAACCCCTCTTTTTTGAGGGGCGGGGGGGATTTCCCGCCAAAAATGATCTGAATTTAGAAGTTCCCAAATAGCAGAACTATTTACAGCAATTTTGCAGCAAGTTTGCAATGCCAAGTTTGCAAAATTGCTGCAAATTTGTGTCAAATAGCGATATGTCCTCCTTTTTCCAACTTTGCATTATAAGTTTGTAGAAAAATTTCTTAGGTAGTTTGCAGAAAAATTTTTAGGAAGTTCGCAGAAAAATTTCTTAGGAAGTTTGCAGAAAATTTTTATGTCAAACTTGAAGAAAACTTGCTAATTATTTGCTCAAGTTCATGTCATGCGCAGTAGTTATCTATGGCACCTAGGGCTGCGCAATAGATTTTAGTGGCCTTTTCCACAGGAAAGTTATCCAGTAACAAAATATTATCATATTTACAACTCAAAAATTTAAAAATTTTTTTCTAAAAATTTCTGCAAGTTTTCTTCAAATTTGACATAAATATCAAGACTCTGAATATAGTCGCAAGCCCACCCCTCCTCCTTCACGTTGAAGAGGAGGTGGATTTTCTGCTAAAAATGACCTAAATTTTGAGGTTATGTTAATTTGGCGGGAAACAACCAAGAAACAAACATAACCCCATTTAAGTCAAACTTTGGTGAAAAATTACCAAAAAAAACGAACATAACCTGAAATGTATGTTATATTTTGGCAGGAAAATTTAATAAATTAGATAAATTATGTTTTAAAAATTATTATTAATAAAAATCATAAATAACATTTAAAAAAATAAATAATAAAATATTAATAATAGTTTTCAATTCCAGAAATTAGCCAAACATAAACTCAAAATAGGTCATAAGGCCACCTACAAAAACAATAAAAAACAGGGGGTTAGCGCATGAAGCGCAGGGGGGCGAATCCCCCTAGTAATTAAATAAAATTTTGTTATAAAAAATTAATAATAAATTTCATTATAGATTGTTTATTTAAAGTTCATAAATTCTTTAAAAAATTGTTTTCTGAATAAATCAATTTAGACAACTTTTCTGTGTTCAGAAATTCTAAAATTATGCTCTAAATAATAAATAAATAATATTACAAAGATATTGACAGATGAATAAAAAAAAACTATTAACTTTGATATTGGTTATTAAAATTTTTTACTTACATTAATTTACTTCTTTATTTTAAAGTTAATAATGATTTTGCAGTAAACATTGACAATCGAGTCGGAGCTGTAGGATTTGTGCCAAAATATGCAAGTGCCTTATATCCTGTTGCTTTATTGAGGGTAAATGAAGAGACTGGACAGCCAATTAGAGGTCCTAATGGTTTTTGCATTCCCTGTAAACCCGGTTAGTATAAAAAATAATTTTCATGAAAATTTTTTTATGTTTTTCTAGTCATAATCATTCACTCTCATTTTCACTGATTGGAAATTGGTAAAAGTGAGAACAAAAATTAGTATCAGTGAAAGTGGAAATTTAATATTACATAATTGTCAGATTCTAAATATAAAATTCATCTCTAATTTCATAAATTGAATAATTTCAGGTGAACCAGGTGTTTTTGTTGGAAAAATTAATCCCAATAAGGCTGTTAATGATTTTAGTGGTTACGCCGATAAAAAAGCCTCCGAGAAGAAAATAATTCGTGATGTTTTCAAAAAAGGCGATAGAGTTTTTAATTCCGGTAAACATTTTTATATTCATGAAAAAAAAAAAATTATTATAAAAAATAAAATAATTATTATTTAATAAATTTATTTCAAGGTGATATCCTGGTAATGGATGAATTGGGATATTTCTACTTTAAAGATAGAACTGGAGATACATTTAGGTAAATGGAAAATTAAATCAATAAACAATATTTTTAATGAATTAATTAACAAAATTTTAGAATATAACTGATCAAATTATTAATTTCATATAATTAATTAACAGTATCTATATAAATAATAATAATTTATAATTCTCGTATTATTAATAAAGATGGCGTGGTGAAAATGTATCAACAGCTGAAATTGAGGCAGTAATTAGTAATGTAATTAATTTAAAAGATGCTGTTGTTTATGGGGTTGAGGTAATTATAAATATCAATTATTATATAATACAGAGATAATAAATTAAAGTGTTAGTAATTAAAGAATTAATTATTAATTATATATATATATATATTTGCATTTATTAAATATATAGTTTTGAATAAAAAATTGAACTATTTTTTATGTAAATAGTTTTAAGATACAATGTTTACTTTATAAAACCACAAGAAGTTGAAACTAATAGCTGTTTATAAAGAAGGTTAATAATTTTTCAAGGTTCCTGGAAATGAGGGCAAAGCTGGCATGGCAGCGATTTACGATCCAGACAAGTCGTTGAACTTAAACAATCTCGCTGAAGGTGTACAAAAGTCGTTGCCAAAGTATGCTAGACCATTATTTGTTCGTGTTCTTGCTCAATTACCAATGACTGGTATTTATCATTTACGTTAATTTTATTTATTTTTATGTAAGTCAGAGGGTGAATCCATATAAACTCAATATTGACTTTGATATTTTTGATTTGACTAAAATTTTTTGTATTTTTTACAATTCTACAAAAAAAAATTTAACACTTTTTCAATTTTTTTTTTTTTTTTTATTAAGATGTTAATGAGATATAAATTTTTCTAAATTTGAAAATTTGAAATTTCTTTTTTTTTAATGCTTATAAATTTTTGAAAAATGCAATGATGCAAAAAATTACAAATTAAAGTTTTATTCTTTCAAATTGTTTGTATTCTTATATTTTTGAGGAAAAATTTTCAAATAAAAAATAAACAATTTCCTTTCACACAAATTTCAAGATTTCTCCTTTCAAAAAGGAAACAATTTTTTTGAAATTTTCTAAAATTATGGAAATTTTAAATTTACTAATACATACATGAAAACTAAATTTGTAGTTATTTTTAGCGCTATGTATGAACAAATTTTATTTGAAATTCTTTAAAAATATAAATCGAATGATAAAGTTAATTTTGATAAATTTTGTATCTTTTAAATTACAAAACTTCTAGTAAAAAATTTTCAAAGTCGATGATATGGGGAAGAGTGCGGGCTACATTGGATTACTTTGTTTCAAAATCATAGTAATAATTTTAATTTAACAAATTTTGAGTGTACAATTGATCACTGCTATTAATTGCCCTACACCGAAAAAAAAATATTCTTGTATTCAGAGGAAAATTCCTCTTACAGAATCCTCTTGAATTTTATTCATAAAACAAGAGTATTACTCTTTAAATGAGAATATTTTCCTCTAATTTCAAGAGGATCGAAATAAAAGGACTATTCTAGAGCATTCCTCTTATATTCAGAATAATCTTTTTAGAATAAAAATAATACTCTTAGAATTTAGAATAATCTTCTATGTTTAAGAATATTCCTCTAAATTCTAAGAGGATTTCCCATAGAAAGTCGCTCATGCGCAAAGATGATTGCGTCATATCATTTACGTCGCGTCATAAATCGCATATCATGCGTGAAAAAGTTTTAATTTCTGTGTGAAAAAAGGGAAATAAACCAAAATGGATAATAATCTTTTAAATATCTTGATAGAGTTGCAAGTTACACAATACGTGCCTATTTTTGAAGGTAAAAGAAATTTTTTAAAGTAATTTTTAAGAAAATTTAAATAATTTTGAGGTTATGCTATTTAAAAATTTATTTTATTACGATTTTTATTTATTTTAATTTTATTTGAAAATTTATTTAAAATAAATTTTCAAATTTAATGAATTATATGTTTTGTGCATAAAAATATTATTAAAAATAGATTTAGTTGATTTATTCAAAAAAATTAAAATCAATTTTAATTTATTTATACTCAAATAGATGTAAATCATGGAATAACAAATTTTATTCCTTTTAATTTTATAGATTATATCTATGACATACAAATTAGATGATTGCATTTTTATTATTTCAGAGTTTTTTTTTAAGATGATATTTTCCTCTTAAAATAAGAGTATCCTCTTAAATTAAGAGGAATAATTTTACATAGAGGACAATCCTCTTAAACCTAGAGGACATCCTTTTGCAGCATATACTAGAGGAAAATATGCATTGAAATAAGAGGAATCCTCTTGAAACAAGAGGATTTTTTTTTCGGTGTATGTTTATAAAAATCATTATTGTATTTTAAGCAAATTGTTACTTTGTAACTTCAAAAACAGTTTTTTCGATTTTTTTTAGAAATGAATCGCAACTTTGCTTAAATTTTTTGACGTAGTTTATTATTTATATTTACAATTTAGTAGAGTTTTCTAATGTAATTTTCCAGGAAATTAAAATGATCCACTGTAGTCCACTCTTCTCTATACATTATTGAATTATCGTAGATCCTCCCATAGTATAATGTATTTGTTTTAAAAATTTAATTGAATAAATTTCTCTTTAGGTACATTTAAACTAAAAAAGAAGGAACTTCAACAAGATGGCTTTAATGTAACAAATGTAAGTATTGCAAATATGTAAATCATGGATTTTTATTTTATTACATAAACATAAGCATTTCTCAAAATTAATGCGAATTAATGCGATTAATGCAAAAATTCAAATCTTAAGGCCCTGTATGGAAAAATATGTTTTGCAAAAACCAAAATTTCTCTAAAATGAAAAAAAAAGTTTTGTCTAAAATTTTCATGTATAATAGAGAAGTGTACAATGCACATTTCTGTTCTCTTGAAAAAACATAATTTTACGTTGAATTTTATTAAAAAAGAAAAAAGTTTAAAAAGTTACATTTTTAAACGAAAATGACAAAAAACATCGCGGTGAATACACAGGCTTTGCGTCTGTTTATCAGTGATCCAGGAGGCAGAGCCAATGCGAGCTAGTGACCGCTGAATGAACTAGGAAAAACCACATTAATTTACTATATATGTACTGCATTATTTCTATCTATTTTATATTAAATTATAGTAAATGAGTAGAAGGGACGCATGATTATGTTCTAAAAATCATAAGTTAGAATTTTTATTTTATGGAATTTCATTTGTCATAATTATTTTTGTGTCGAATTATTATTTTTTCGGGTTAGTATTTTGGAGAATTTTTATCAAATCAATTTTCTATATTAAAGAATTTTTATATAACCAAAAAATTCACTTCACAGAATTTTTAATTTCTTTGAATTTTTATTTGTCAGAATTTTTATTTACTCGAATTTTCATTTAACAGAATTTCTAATTGATAGAATTTTCATTTGTCCGAAATTGCAAATGGCCGAAACAACAATATCGATTTCGGCGCGATTTTTAAAATCAACTCATCAGAAATTTTTTTGGATAATTTTTGATTGGTTGATTTTAAATATCGCGCCGAATCTTTCTGTCGATTGTTTGTTCGGCTCAAAAATAATTATGAGAAATGAAATTCCATAATTTATGAAAATTCTAACTAATGATTTTTAGAACATAATCATGCGTTCCGAGTAGAAGAGCGATGTTCATTGTACCATTCTCTACAATTCTTGAATGTTTATAATCTCATTTTTTTTCATTTAGAGAAAGTTTGAGAGTTCCAAAAAAATGTCTTTTCCCACATGGCCTTAACTTGAATAAAAATATTACTTATAATTTAAGATTAAAACGATTAAACTTTAAAAAACGTGGGTTAAACGATTGATTGAACGAAAAATTTATATTTATATTATTAATTTATATATGAATAATAATATTGAATTTTTATTCTAATATTTTATTTTTATGTTTTTTTTTAATAATTCATTGTACTTTTTTTATATGTACATTTTTAATGTAATTTTTTTAACGTAGATTATCTTCTAATCGTCATGAGAGAAAAGGATGATAATCGCCTTTAGTGTAAAAAATTCAAATCCATAATTTAAAAATTATTTTCCTTTCAGTAATTAATAATTAATTTTTAAATTTTCAGTTAAAAGATCCAGTCTATTTTTTGGATACATCGGGAACCTATGTAAGGCTTAGCGAAAGTTTATATAATGAAATACTTTCCGAAAAAGTCCGCTTGTAGTTATATATATTTCAATTCAATTGCAAAAAAAATGAGATAATTAATGAATTTTGAAAATTCATTTCTGATCATAGAATTCATGATAGGAATCAAATGAAAATTAAAGGGGACCAAACAGACATTGCATATCATTAGAAAAAAATTGAATTTCATTTACAATTAAAAGAAAAAAGATATATATATGATACGAAAAATTATTTGTTCTCTATATAAATATTGTGTTGAAAAATATTTGTTTTCTAATATATATTTAGATTTTATTTTTAAAATATATATGTTTATTAAAAAAAAAACAAAGCTAGAAAAATTAAAATAAATTTACTTTATAGCAGATATATATATATTTTTCTGTAGGAAATACAAAAATTTTAGATTTTAAAAATATTCTTGTTTTTTGGAAACAAAATTTACGTTATTGTTGAAAAAAATTTATATATTTTTATTATTACTATTATTATTATTATTTATTATTCAAAATTTGTGTCAACTGAAAAATAGAATTTAAAAAAAAAATCGTAAATTAATAAATGTAGTCAAATGTTTTTGCATAATATAATTCTAAGAGTGTATAGAATTTAATTATTTATATGAACATCGATACATTTATATTATATTTATAATATATTGAAGTATGAGTTTGAGTGTTTGTAAAATAAATAAAGAATTTATAATTTAATCAAAAAATTTATTAATTTTTTATTGATACCTAATTTTATATGTTTTTATTAGATTAATAAATTAGTCATGAGTTTTATTTTCTATATTGAAAAATATAAACACAATAAAATATTTAGAAAACAAAGTATAAATCAAAATAAAATTATATTTTGTTTTGAAATGCCCTTTTATCAATTAATTAATTTATTTCCTAATTATCATCATCAATAATAATCAATCAATCAACCAATCATCATCAATAATAATTATTTTTCGTAAACTAATTATTTCCTTTTATTATATTCATTTTGTATATTTTTATTTTTTAATTTCTTTTATTTAAATAAATTAAATAATTAATTAGTTAAATTAAATTTGAATTAAATTTAATAAATAAAAAATAATTTTCTATTAGTTATTTGAGATGAGATATTTTTCTTTCTATATCTGAATGATGAAATTAGACCTTGAACATGTTTCCGTCAAAGCTGTGAAATAGTAGGTTGAGAACCTTTTATTCAAAGTCTAGAAGCAAATTTTAACTTTAGTAACGCGCAAGCGCATATATTGAAACACAGCACAAAAACTGGATCTCATCTAAAAACATTGTCTGTTTGTTGGAAAATTGTGTCAAAGTGAAAAACTTGTTTTATTATTGTGATTAAATTTTTCCTTTTTTTTCATTGAAATTTTTAACAATAAGTGAAAAATTATTTTCAGTTAAATTTTCACGTGTGCTTTCAAATTTAATGCAAGTATTACCAACATATTATATATTTATATTTTTATTTTTAAGATTTTGTTGATTTTCAAATGCCAAAGTTATTTTTATAGTAAAATAGTAGAAAAAAAAATAATTTTTAGAAATTTTCAGTAATTTTTTTTCAAATTGAAACTAAAGTTACGTAATTTAATTAATTGAGAAATAAAATTTAAATTGAAAGTCTGGTTATAGCTTCAATTAAAATATTACCATTCTGCTTATGTTGGCAAAAATGGTTGGCTCTAGATGTCTCTATATTAATGGATTATTTTAAAAATAAATATTAAATAATTAAGAAACTAAAATTATTTAATAGGTTAAATGATTTTTATTAACGAGCACGCAGTATTTTTTATATGAAAATGTAAAATTAAAAAACTTTCTATTTGGAAATATTTTTATTAAAACAAATTAAAATTTTTTTTTTATCTTATCTTTAAATCTCTCAAAATGTTACATAAATCATTCAGTTTTATCAAATATTTTCTTCTTAATAATTGCAAATATTTTGTGTTTTTGTAAATGGAAAAAATAGGAGCTCAATTTCTAGTAAATATTCCATTTTTAGAAATACAATATGAAATACTGTAAATTACTATTTATTTAGAATTTTCATTTCAAATAATTGTTTTGAAGTCATTCAATTTTTTACAAAACAAAATTTTATTTTACATATTTTCTCTTTACCTATTTGTTTATTGAAAAGGATTTTAATTAAATCCAATTTTAATTTAGCCGAATTTTTTATTCAACATATTATAATTTTAAGTGAGTCGATTTTTTGAAGTCAGGAATTTCTAATTCGCTGAATTTTTATTTGTCGAATTGTCATTTCATAATATTAAATAAAAGGAAAAATTTTGATTTGACCGAAATTGAAAATGTCCGAAAAAAACTGAAAGAAGGATTTTGCGCGAATTTTATAATTGACCAATCCGAAATTATCAGGAAAATTGTGATTGGTCAATTTTAAAATAAGGGCAAAATTATTCGGTCATTTACAATTTCGGTCAATTGAAAATTCGATGTCTTAAAAATTCTTCCAAATAAAAATTCCGACAAATTAAAATTCGGTGAATTGAAATTTCTGTCATTCTGCTAAATTAAAATTCTTTTAACTCTTTAAGGACCAAATGTACAAAAATTTTGCCTAAAGTTTGGCAATTTTTTAAACCAACTAAACGCATTAAGAAAAAATTCGCAATATACGTTTCTTATGGTCCAGGAACTGCTCTTTCAAGTGGTGCATCTAAAAAAATCGTAAATTTAAAATTAAACAAATTACAGATAATTATTTATAAAAAAACATGAATTTTCAAGGTATTTTTTTACTTAAGAATTTTTTTGGGCAATGTACCATTTTAAAATATCTTCCCGAGGTACAAATATCGCGTCAAAAATGTTCAAGCTTTGACATAGTGACATAGATTTAAAAAAAAAAAACTAAATGTCTAAATAATATTGTTAATTAAAGTTGAGATTTTAATAACAAATACGCAGCTATTGTCAAATAATTTTAAAACTCATTGGATCCACTCGAAAAGAGTTACTCGGGGGTTTTCGGGGTCACTGATTACGAATCTGAAGTCGATTTTTAAAAATTCAAAATGGCGGATCCAATATGGCGGACGAAAAATTAAAAATTCATCGGATCCACTCGAAAAGAATTACTCGGGGGTTCTCTTTTCGAGTGAATCCGATGAATTTTTAATTTTTCGTCCGCCATATTGGATCTGCCATTTTAAATAATAAAATTTTTTAAAATTTGACCTCGGATTCGTAATCAACGACCTCGAAAACCCCTGAGTAACGATTTTTCAGTGAATCCGATGAATTTTTAATTTTTCGTCCGCCATATTGGATCCTCCATTTTGAATTTTGAATTTTAAATTTACGGTTTTTTAGATGCACCACTTGAAAGAGCAGTTCCTGGACCATAAGAAACGTATATTGCGAATTTTTTCTTAATGCGTTTAGTTGATTTAAAAAATTGCCAAACTTTAGGCAAAATTTTTGTACATTTGGTCCTTATAAAGGGTTAAATAAAAAGTCATGTAAATTTGACTATAAAATAAAAATTTTTCCAAACAAAAATTCAGTATCTAAAAATTGTGTTAAGTAAAAATTTGGATAAAAAGAAATTCTGTCAAAAATTCTAATTCAAAAAATGAAAATGTCGCCGAAAAAATAATTATTTCTAATAAAAATCTTAAAAATGAAAATTTTAATTAATGATTTTTATGGGACTTTTTTTAGGGAACATTTTTGTAATTTTTAAAATATATCTTAAATGCGAAGAAAATGAAATAAATTAAATTTTATTTTAAAACAGAATTGAAAATTAAGAGGAATGTCGTCGGAAGATAAATTTCAATTCGCCATTGATAGAGGAGGAACGTTCACTGACGTTTATGCGAGATGTCCTGGTGGAAAAGTTAGAGTTATGAAATTACTGTCAGTTGATCCCTCAAATTATTTGGATGCCCCACGAGAAGGAATTCGAAGAATTCTTGAACAAGTGGGTATCTATATTATTACAAATGTTCTAATATTTCTGAAAACTGTAATATAAAATTCTTGATGGAATTATTTTTTATTCTTAAAAAACGTAGCTATTGTATATAATTATTATACACGGAGAAAAAAGATTTCTTTTATAAAGTAACTTTTACTACTTTCAGAGTAAAACTGGACCAACTCGAAGTTTCTGCGCATCTCTGGCAATTTTTACTCCAAAAATAGTAAAATTTATTATTTCTGTAGTAAATTTTACTGTTTCCGTAGTAAGTTTTACTATTTCTAGAGTAAATTTTACTATTTTTGGAGTAAAAATTGCCAGAGATGCGCAGAAACTTCGAGTTGGTCCAGTTTTACTCTGAAAGTAGTAAAAATTACTTTTTCTTTTTCTCCGTGTAGGAGTGAATTTTTTTTTTTTTTTCAGGAAACTGGAACTCGTATGACAAATGAAGTGGATACATCACAAATTTCATGGATAAGAATGGGAACAACAGTAGCAACAAATGCATTATTAGAAAGGAAAGGTGCAAAAATGGCTTTATTAATAAATGAAGGATTTAAAGATTTACTTTACATTGGCAATCAGGCTCGACCAAATCTTTTTGACTTGGTTAGTATAAATCCCTTCTAGAAAAAATCGATTGAAAACAATTAAAAACAATAGGAAAGAAATTATTCTATTGTCCCCAATCGTGTTCGTTACAATTGAGGACGATTAACTTTCTTATTATATTCAATCGTGTTCTATAGATTGTATTGCATGGACTATTGTTTGGCGGGAGTTTTTGAAAATTTTAAAAAGTGCAACTAATTAAACAGTCTAGAAAAATATCATTATTTTAAAGATTATTTTCCGAACTAAAAAATTAAAATATTTATCAATGTATTTGTCACCAAAGAAGAAAATCAAATATTTGAGCAAAAATTAATTAAAAGTTATTTTTTTATTTATCTTTGAATGAAGCTGCACAAGACGAAATGTTTATAATTTAGGATCCAAAAAATGTTTAAAAAATAATTTTTGACCAATACATCAAGTATTGTTTTAAATTGAAATATTTATTAATTGATGAATTTTTTTTTTAAATTTCAGTAAATATTGATTTTTTTTTTAAATAATCGAATATTGGAATATCTACAATAATTATAAGATTCTTTTTAAGAATTTTTAAAGAATTTGATTACAGTTTTCGAAAATATTTAATTGAAAAATTATGGTTTTTTGTTTTTGCAAGGGTTCAGTCGAACTTCGAACAAAATTTATAAAATTTTTTCTTAAATTTCTTTGAAAAGTTGCTGGATACCTAAAATTTAGAAAAACTAAAAATTTTGTTCTAAAAAAATGAAAAATTGAAATTATTTTAAAATGTAAGGGATATAATTTTTTCTTATATTTATTTTTATGTTCCTAATTATTTATTTAATTTCTGTTAATATGTATTTTTTTACGTATACCTATTTATTTATTTATTTCTATATTTTTGAGGTTATGTATTATCAACTCAAAGGTTGTCATACTTGATTTGTTATCATATATAGGATAAGTAAACATATTGACATTATCCATATCACTAGAAATTTTACTTTATATTATTATATTATTATATTATTATTATATTATTATATTATTATATAATATAATCTTTGATCCTGTTTGATTCAACACTATTCTTATTCCTATCATTAACATTTGCGCATGTACGTATATCATTCTCCCGATAGCACCCGATTAAAAACAATTGAAAAAGTCTAACTTATTTTACACGATTGAAATGAAGAATTCGAAACAAAATTGAAAAAATATATTCTCCAATTGGAAACAATTCAAAACAATTAAGACATTTTTATACTCAATCATTCTGAATCGTGTTCAATTGATTTCACATAGTGATGCATATGAGCAAGACGATCCGAGAAACGAGCGAGAAAATCGGACTTTTTAATTTTGACAACCGAGAATATAGTTTGTTTTGTTTTAATAAAACGATCTTCTCGGCTATCCGAGCGAGCTTCACGAGTATCTCGTTTTGCAAATTCAAACATGTAAAAATTGAAGGGAGGTTAGTAGAAAAATGATTTTAACTTTTTTGGTTAAAAGATTAATAAATTACTATTAATATATTAATAACTGTTATCGAAAAATAATAATTCTTTTAACAAATTAAAGTTATTTATTATTCTAACCATGTTAATTTTGATAATTCCACATTGTTAAAAAGTATAAATCAAATAAATTTATCGAATTAGTGGTAATTTTTTTTATAAATTAAAATTAGTTAGGTATAATTCTAATCATGTAAATTTTAAAAATTACACAATGTTACAAACTATAAATTAAATAAATTGAAATAAATAATGAATTATTAAGGAATAAATTGTTAATTTTTATTAAATGTATAATTTGGCTTAATTTAATGTCAATTTTTGCTAAGTATTATTTATTAAATAATACATTTAACCTACAATTTATTTGTTTATTAACCTTTAAAAACTATATTTATATAAAACTTTCAAACTAATAATCTTAACTATATATTAGATAAAATTAAACTTTTGAAAATGCTAATATACCTCTCTAAGGATCTTTTAAGATTTTGAGTTTCTTTTAATAATTCTCCCATTATCTTTTACGTTTCCGAGATACTCCGAGAACTCGATCATTTTGTGTTAGTTTTCGGGACGAGACTATTTGATAAAAACAAATAAAAACTCGAGTTGTTATTTAAAAAATGACAGTTAAAAACGAGAAATTTCGCGCGAGATAATCGATCTTCTCGTATCGTTGTGCATCACTAATTTCACAGCCCCACAAAAAAAAAGTGTCATGTACTTTTGACCGGAATACCCTAACCCTATGTATTTTGACGCGCTGAACACGAATCCGAAGTCCGTTTTGCTCCATCACGTCAGGATTTTTTTCTAACCTCAAAAAACATGTCGGATTTTGAGAAGTAGGCGATTTTTTAAAAAATTGATGTATTAACTTCAAACTTGGTATCTGGGGGTTTTTTGTGTCGCTGATTACGAATCTAAAGTTAGATTTTCAAAATCCAAAATGGCGGATCCAATATGGCGGACGAATTTTGAAAATTTTTAAGATTTACTTCAAACTTGGTATCTAGGGGTTTTTTGGGTCGCTGATTACGAATCTGATGTCAGATTTCCGAAATTCGATATGTCTGATTTAATATTAAGGAATTATTTTTAAAAAATTGTCAGATTATTATGAAATTTGGTATCTACAGGTTTTCTAAGTTGCTGACAAGTAACACTAGGGAAGTGCCATACGCCGATTTTTCTGAAACTTGGCAGTTTTGTAGTTTTTTGAAAACAATTTGACACGTATGTTTTGTTTTTCCCCAAAAGCTGATTTATGGGGTGAACTACCCCTTGAATTTTTTTTTGGTAGAGGGACATTATTTTACGAAATGTTTTAAAAATTAATGTGCAATAGTGTATCTGAGGGTTTTTGGGTCACTAATTACGAATCTGATTGTCAGTTTTCAAAAATTGATAATGGCGTATCTAATGTGGCCGATAGAAGTCCATGTTGAATATGCCATTTTGAATTTTTGAAATCTGACATTAGATTCGTAATCAGCGACCCAAAAAACCCCTAGATACAGATAATGGCGTATCTAATATGGCCGATAGAAGTCCATGTTGCATATGCCATTTTGAATTTCGGAAATCTGACATCAGATTCGTAATCAGCGACCCAAAAAACCCCTAGATACCAAGTTTGAAGTAAATCTTAAAATTTTTCAAAATTCGTCCGCCATATTGGATCCGCCATTTTGGATTTTGAAAATCTAACTTTAGATTCGTAATCAGCGACACAAAAAACCCCCAGATACCAAGTTTGAAGTTAATACAGCAATTTTTAAAAAAATCGCCTACTTCTCAAAATCCAACATGTTTTTTGAGGTTAGAAAAAAATCCTGACGTGATGGAGCAAAACGGACTTCGGATTCGTGTTCAGCGCGTCAAAATACATAGGGTTAGGGTATTCCGGTCAAAAGTACATGACACTTTTTTTTTTGTGGGGCTGTGTTTTTTCTAAAAGGGAACCTATTTTTATTTTATTTTTATTTCTCACTGAAAAATTATAAGTAAAAGTAAAAGCGAAAATGAAATTACAAATTCGCATTCGTATTTTTAATTTGATGAAAAAATAAAAGAAAATAATCTTTAGTTAATGAAGAAAGTTAAAAATAAAAATTAATTGATTGGAAAATAATTTTAATTAATAATAGCTGTGTTTGTTTTCTAAATTAATTAAACTGTTATTGTTTCTCATGTAGAAAATAATCACACCAGGCGTATTATATTCTAAAGTAGTTGAAGTAAAGTGCAAAGTAGTTCCAGCAATGTCGAACCGATGCCACTTAAATAAAGATAATAATTGGAGGAATGTTAAAGGTTGCACTGGAGAGAATTTGCTTGTAATGCAAGAACTTGATGAGGAAACTCTAAAGAAAGATTTATTGTCTTTAAAAAATTTAGGAATAGAAAGTTTGGCTGTTGTTTTAATGCACAGTTACACGTAAATATTAATTTTTCTTCAATATTTATTTAAAAAAAAAAAAACTTTCCAAAGTTGTAAAACTAATTTAATAATTTAAATCTTTTAGTTTCCAATCATAGGATTCTACAATATACATTCAATTCAATTTTGACAATTTAATTTAATTTCCCACTTTACTTAGATTTGCAGAACATGAAATTAAGGTGGGTCAATTAGCAAGAGAAATGGGATTTCCACAAGTGTCTCTATCTCACGAAGTAATGCCGATGACAAGAATTGTTCCGAGAGGCTTCACCACATGTGCAGATGCATATTTAACACCACACATCAAAAATTATCTTCAGGTATTATAATTTGTTTCAAGTAGAATGAGAAAAATATGATTGATTTTGATAATAATAATAATAATTTCATTGAAATTTAATATAGGGTTTCTCGTCAGGTTTTAAGGACAATTTAAAAGATGTAAATGTTCTTTTCATGCAAAGTGATGGTGGGTTGACACCAATGGATTCGTAAGTTACAAATTTTTTTTTTTTCTTAATATTAATTTGATTTATTTTTTTTTTTTATGGATTTTAGTTGTGCCTAAAGTTTTCTAATTGCATGTTATATTCGGAAGGGAAAAGACAAATTTTATTATTTTAATTTTAATCACTTTCACTTTAAAAATTTCAGAATTTTTATTTATCAGAATTGTTATATTGTCGAATTTCTTTTTATCCGAATATTCACTTAAAACTATCCCGCTGAAATATTTCAGCCAAGTGTATGATGCGATATGTGAAAGTATGATCAAATGGAAATTCGACGTTTTAACAATTCTATCTAATTAAAATTCGGATAAGTGAAATTTCGATCAAATAAAGTATCGGTGAAATAAAAATTCTCTGTCTTAAAAATTAGCTAAGTAGAATTTTAAATCACAATTTTATTAAATAAAAATTAAATCAAATAGAAATTTTATTTAATAAAAATTTTCTTAAATAGGAATTTTGTTATATAGAAATTCTTTTAATTAGAAATTCTGTTAATAAAAAAAATACTTTTAAGTGAATATTCGGATAAAAAGAAATTCGACAAAATAACAATTCTGATAAATAAAAATTCTGAAAATTTTTCTAGATAGGTATCAATTTTGTTAATTGGAAATTGTGTTATTTGAAAATTCGATGTATTAGAAAATTTGCTTTGGCAAAGTTCAGTTACCCGTGTGGAAAAGTCGACTGGGCCCCAATCTGGTCCAAACTGGGTTTCCTAATGTCCAAAGTGGGCAAATCCCAAAGATCTCCCAAGATTGGGAAATCCCAGCTGGGGCCAGATTGAGTTATTCCATTTTTATTTATAATTGTTAATTAATAATTATATAAATAATTTAACAACAAGAGAGTAAATTAAATGAATAAATATAATTTCCTTTTAAATTAAATTGTATTAAAGATGACGACTAACAAACAATGTATATAGTAAAAAAAAGTAAAAAAAATATTTATATAATTTAAAAATTAAATAATAGTGTATGTATTAGATTTTCAAGTTTTGGTACAACTTATAAATGAAAATCTAGGAATAACGCAAACCTATGAAATAAACAAAACTGCGCACGAGGGGAATCGAACCTACGACCTACGGACTTATAGATTAACGCTCTAACCACTATGCTAACGACGTGTACCTGCAGACAAGTTTTAATTTCTCAGTATCAAAGATGTGAAAAATATGATTAGGTTAGACAATAAATTAAAATATAATCACTTACTTAATTTCATTTATTTTAATTTAACATTTTTACCAGTAATAATTTCGATTAATAAGTACCAAAGTATAGTTGTCGTTGAAGTCAAAATTTTGTTTAAATAATTTATTAAATTAGAAAATTATCTTCAATTATTATTAATAAATTGAATAAAAATAGGAAATAAATGATTGAGAATGGGGTCAGAGTGGGAAAGCCCAAACTCAAAAAACGACTATGTTATTATTATTAATTAGCTTAGTTGAATAAATTAAAAACTAAGAACTTGACATACATTTTATTTATTCAGGAAAGGTATTATTAAAGCATTAATATAATTAACTAAAGTTTTCAATTTCCTTATTTTTTCTTAAATGTGAATTTTGCCCATATTGGCTTTTGGAAAAATCTCCAAACGGCATATAAATTAAATATAAATATAATTAACTAGTTTTATTATTTCTCATTTTTTCTCAAGTTTTTTATTTATTTATAACAGTATATTAAATTAAATTTCAGTTTGGGAATACTTTGGGAAATCCCAGTTGGGGCCAGGTTGGGTTGATCCAAACTTTGTCCAAGTACAAAGAAAAACAAACATTTTTTTCAGCTTTTCACAGTTGCGCTTTTTTGTATATTTGTTCAGCATATTATTTAAATAATAATTTAATTAACTTAATTCTTTTATTTCTTCATATTTCAAACTTTGGAAAGTCAAGTTGGGCCCAGATTAGCGCCCAGTCTCACTTTGGGCGACTTTCGGAAGATTTCCACACGGGTAAATAAAAATTCTACAAAATTAGAATTTTTTTAAATATAAATTTTTTGATTTTAAAATTGGGCTCATTGTAAAATCTATTTTCTTTTAAATTCTACTAAATGTGATAATTTTTAATTCGACACTACAAAAATTCCGGCAAATCTAATTTGGGGAATATTCATGTGTCCCAAACAAAATTTTAAAGATATAAAATCGTATCCAATCCAACTGGATTATTTTTCGTGAGTTTTAATGAAAATTATAAAATATTTTAATTAATATTAATATTTATGGAAAACACATCACGAGGACGTGACATGCATTTAGAATATATAACAAAAACATTGAAAATTAATTATGTTCTTTTTATAAAATAGCAATTTTCCAAATTTAGATTCATTGGATCAAGAGCGATACTTTCCGGTCCGGCTGGTGGTGTTGTTGGTTATGCAATGACAACTTTTAATAAAGAAACAAATTTACCAGTTATTGGATTTGATATGGGTGGAACTTCAACTGACGTCAGTCGGTATGGTGGATCTTATGAACATGTTTATGAAAGTACAACAGCTGGAATTACATTTCAGGCTGCTCAGGTATTGTAAATTTTTTGTTGTAAAATTTTTAAAAATGATTCTTATTTTGTTATGCTGAGAAATAATTTATTTTTCAGTTAGATATCAATACAGTGGCAGCTGGTGGTGGATCTATGCTTTTCTTTAGATCAGGACTTTTTGAAGTTGGTCCCGAAAGTGCAGGAGCTCATCCAGGTCCAACTTGTTACAAGAAAAATGGTCCTTTAACAGTAACTGATGCTAATTTAGCGCTTGGTCGTCTTCTACCGGAATATTTTCCAAAGATTTTTGGACCCAATGAAAATGAACCTTTAGATAAAATTAAAACAATAGAAGCCTTTAATAGATTAACAAATGAGGTGATTGATTCTTTTGTATACTTCTGAATTAGAATTTTATAATTTTTGAATTTTCATTTTGTATTCTTCCGAATACAATCTCTGAAAAGATTTTCCTAATATAGCGAAAAATTAAATTACTGAAAAGAACTATTTTTGCCAAATTTTCACTGTTAATAATTCATTTCAGATAAATGATTTTCTCATAAAGGAGAAAATAAAAACTGAATCGGAAAAAATGAGTATTGAAGAAGTTGCAATGGGATTTATTAAAGTGGCAAATGAAGCAATGTGTCGACCAATTCGATCTCTAACGCAGGTATAAAATTAATGATTTGTTTTCTGTATATAAATTTTATATCAATTTTTTAATTGTAACATAAAATTGGAAAAAAAAGGTAAAAAAAATATTATTTAAATATTTTTACTGTATAGGGAAAAGGATATGATACAGCACAACATGTTTTAGCTTGTTTTGGTGGTGCGGGAGGTCAACATGCTTGTGCAATTGCACGATCATTAGGAATGAGATATGTGTTTGTTCATAAATATGCTGGAATATTATCAGCCTATGGAATGGCTCTTGCTGATGTTGTTGAAGAATCACAAGAACCAAGTATAGAGATTTATGAAAAAGGTATAATATTTGCAGAAAAATTTATTTTTATTAAATCCTTTTCTTAACAAAGAAGAAATTGCTAAGTAATAGATTTTTAGCAAAGGAAAAAAAACAATTTTTTTTTAGAATCCTTTGGACGTTTGGAGAATCGTTTAAATTTATTGGAACAAAATGTTAAATCAAAACTCAAGCAACAGGGATTTTTAGAAAATCAAATTCACGTGGAATATTTTTTACATATGCGATATGAAGGAACTGATTGTGCTCTAATGGTTACACCAAATGGAAAACAAAATCCAATAGGAGACAATCCCAAACACGGTGATTTCTTATCTACTTTTTTGGAAAGGTCTTTATTTATTTTTAAATTCTCTTTGTCATTTAGAATCTTTTTTTTTTAAAAAAGAATTTCAGTAAATTATACAAGTTTTAGATATCAAACGGAATTTGGATTTACAATGCCAAATAGAAAAATATTCGTGAACGACATTCGAGTACGAGGAATTGGAAAAACGGACATAATTGAAGATCCAATTCTTTTAAAATCAAAGGAGCAATTAAAAGTTGAAAAAGTAGGTGAAAAAATATTTTCATATTGAAAGAAAAAGTGATTTTTTAATTATAAATTCTCTTTTTATAATTTGCTGTAGGTGACAAAAACATTTTTCGACAATGACTATCATGACACGAGGGTATACAAATTAGACAGCTTATCAGCTGGACATGAGATATTTGGTCCAGCCATTATTATGGATAGCTTGAGTACTTTGTTGATCGAGCCAAATTGCTCTGCGTTAATTACATCTCGAGGGGATGTCAAAATCACAATTGGCAAAGATGTTGAGACAAAAGTCACTGCAGAATTAGATGCTATACAACTCAGTATTTTCTCTCATCGTTTTATGAGTATTGCAGAACAAATGGGAAGGTAATTGAAATTTTTGTGAAAAAAAAAAAAAAATTAATTCCCTTCAAAATTTAAGGGATTATTTTTAAGATTAGTTTTAAAAAATAATTCTTTCAATAATAATTTTAAATTGTTTTCTTATTTTATATTCGATTATTGTCAATTAAAATATTTTAATATATTAATAAATTTTAATATTAAAAATAAATTTTTAGTTATTTATTTTTAGAATTTTGCAAAGAACGTCAATATCAACGAATATAAAAGAACGTCTGGACTTTTCATGTGCAGTTTTTGGACCAGACGGAGGTTTAGTGTCAAATGCTCCTCATATACCTGTTCACTTGGGTGCAATGCAGGAAACTGTACAGTATCAAATAAAAGCCTTTAATGGCGTCTTTACGCCAGGAGATGTTATTCTAGCAAATCATCCCTCAGCTGGAGGATCACATCTTCCCGATCTAACTGTGATTACTCCGGTATTTTATAAGTAATTCTTCCATTTGTTATTGCTTTGATTTGATTTTTTGTGTGTTATTATATTTTAATTAAAATTATTATTTTTTTTTTGATAAAAAGAATGGATGATGAAAATTAATAAAAATTTAAAAATTTAGAAATGTTCCAAGTCCGGTATTCTTTGTGGCTAGTAGAGGTCATCATGCAGACATTGGGGGTATCACTCCTGGATCAATGCCACCACATTCTACTAAATTAGATCAGGTAATTTATTATATTTTTAATTAATCTTTATTCAAAAAATGTCAATTTTATTTCTCCTTCTTGATACCATAGGCAGTGTATAAATTGTATAGGGTCAGCCGGGGTAAATCCGAACGCTTTTAGTAAGTTTCAACAATAACATAAGTTTTTTCTTTTAAAAGACAATACTTCCGGTATTCTGGTGCATGAAGTTGTTACTTTACTTCCATAGAACAATATTATGGGGTAGCAAATTTTTTTGATAAATTACAATCGCAGGAGACTTAGCGTTCGTATTTACCTCGATACTTTGCAACTTTCCTAAAATACCGGGGTAAATACGAACGCCACTGTATTTCAGAAAAATCTTAGGGAAAATAAATTTAAAGTATTGCAATTGTTAAACTTATATAAAAACTCAAAAAAAATACGATAATAAACCTATTATGTAATAATGCATCATATATAAATACAAAAATCAAACAGGTTAAAAATTAAAATGCATTACACAATTAAAACCTTCAATAACTTTATCAAATCTTAACGGATTTTTGCAAAACTTGCTACAGAAAGTATTTTGGAGTGATTGAATGTAAATACAAAAATAAAAGTCAAATTTTTTAAATTCAAAATGGCGGATTCAATATGGCGGACTTTTCTAAAAGTTATTTTTAAAAATGATCAAATTTGCTAACTCCAAATTCATAATCAGCGACCCTGAAACCCTCCGAGTAACAATTTTCGAGCGAATCCAATGAATTTTTTAATTCTCGTCCGCCATATTGGATCCACCATTTTGAATTTTGAAAAAGTGACTTCAAATTGGTAATCAGCGACCCCAAAAACCCTAGAATACCAAATTTTATTAAGGGGTTACATCCAGTTGGACAGCCAAAAAAGTCGATATTTTAGGAATTTTTTCTGGGAAAACTATGGAGTATTTCAATTCACAAATTAATGCACATATAAAGAGTACTTTTAACTTTATTTTTGCATAGTTTATTTATAAAAATTATTTTTTTTACACCTTGTATAAAATATTTTCTGGAGCTCCTTCGAATCGAGACAGCTAGCGGTGAGCACGTTATTTCTCAACTAGATCATCTAAAATTAAAAATCCAAGATTTTTTCGTTAATATAATACATTGTCTTGTGATTAATCGAAGGAATAGACAAAAAAATAATTTTTGACAAAATGGCGCCTTCAGAAAGCGGAAGTATCGATTTTTGACAAAAATTTACGACTTTAATTGTTTATAAAATGAAAAATATTTATTGTAAAAAAAACCTTCGATTAATCACTAAACAATATTATTAAGAAGCTTGTGTTAAAATCTGAGACCGATCGGTTCAGCCGTTTTCGAGAAATCTTGCTCAACGACTTTAAAAACATTGTTTTGAGTAAAACGCATTTAAAGTTTCAAAACCACTTTATTCATAATAAAAATTTTTTTTTTCAACTTACATCGAATCGTCTATTCCTGGTCCATATAATGTAGGTAATGTAAATATACTTTACGAAAATGCAATAAAAAAACAATTTTGTGTGGCTCTGATATAAGAAAAAATTATTGAAAATACCGTTCGGATTTACCCCGGTTTTCCAATTTTCCGGGGTAAATACGAACGGTCTGATATTATTAATAAAATTTTACAGAAGGCAAAAATCAAAAATAGTTTCTGTTCTAGTATTCGTAACAAACAATTATAATTAATAAAATAAATTTTTAGCTTCTTTTTCTTCAAATACGAGACAAAATACTGAAAGAGTGTCATCTTTGATTTTCAATCTTTTTTGCAATACTCGTTATCTTTGTTTATGCTGTTGCTAATTAACAAACGAAAAATGGGATAATACTTAGAATCTCTTGAAGAGGATCTGACGTAAAAATTCTCATGTCTAACTTATTTTTTTAAATTTTAATTAAACTGAAATAATTAGCGTTCGGATTTACCCCGGCTGACCCTAAATTATTATTTATATGATACAGTCGACACTCGATAATTAAACACTCGATAAATTGAATCTCTCGGTAAATTGAAGCGTAAGTCTTGTCTCTTTTCCTTCTATATAAATTGAATTCATCCAGCGGAACTCTATAATTTGAATTTTTCTCCATAGATAGAAATTAATACTTTTATTTCTCTTGCAAATAAAAGTTATTGTAACACGGAGAAAAAACGAATTTTCAGAAGTAGTACTGAACACTAGATATTTTAAAGCGAATAATTTATTTTTAGAATTCTACATTCCCCTACAGCACTGAAACTTTCCTAAAAATTTCCTAAAGATTTATTTGAAATGTTCGGAATATTTAAATGCAAACTTTAGTGAAAATTGTGTAAAGATTTAAATGTTCCGATTAAATAAATATTTAGTGTGAAACTTTTCTGAACATTTAAATGAAATTTTCAGGAAAGTTTCGCGCTAAACATTTATTCAAGTGGGACATTTAAATCTTTACACAATTTTCACTAAACATTGCAATTAAATATTCCGAACATTTCAAATAAATCTTTAGGAAAGTTTCGGTGCTGTGGGGGTTAAAATTTAAATATTGAGCACTAGGATTTTGTATCGAGTCCTAAAAGTCTACCAATGCGAATCCAGGATGAAATTTGATTAAGTAGGTATTCTAAAACTGTTTGGGATTCAGTCCAAAAGTTTTCGAAACAGTATAATCAACACTTTTTTACATTAATAATTTTTTGTTACTAAGTCTAAACGCTACTGGTTTACGTTCCTAATTTCTACTTCTAAATATAAAACTTTAGAATTCTTCTCCTAAAATTCATCGTGGATTCGCATTCCTCAATTACTAGGACTGAATTATTAAAGGGAATAATAAATAAAGTCTAATGAATGAGTTAGAACAGGAGAAAAATGTAAAGAGGCAATGGCAGGGGGGAAGAAGATGTTAAAAAGAGTAAAATGGGAGTTAGGCATAAAGAAAAGAAGAATTACGATAGGGATACTCAAAAAGTCGATAAAGTATAGAAAGGGAGAAATTGAGGTATTCCAAAGAGATAGAAAATTCTCTAAGAGGAGAAAGAAAGAGTGCGTGCGAAATAATAATCCAAAAGAGAAAAAGAAGAAAGGGAATAAATAATTTTTATAAAATAAAATTACTGTAGATATAAACTAATAATTGTTAATTATCAAAAATTATTTCTCTATTAATTTTGAATTCTCTACATTTTTTTTAGGAAGGTGCTGCATTTAAGAGCTTTATTTTAGTTCATAAAGGAATTTTTCAAGAAACTAATTTAATAGAAGCTCTAATGGCTCCAGGAAAAATTCCCGGTAGTTCTGGCACTAGAAATCTATCAGACAATCTCAGTGATCTAAAAGCCCAAATTGCTGCTAATCAAAAAGTAAAATAAAATTTCAATTTCATTTTACTAAATTATATTCAGAAAAATATTTATTAAACATAAATTTCCTAATTTAAAAATAATTATAAATTTATAATTTTTCTATCAGGGATCAAGTTTAGTAATTGAGCTAATAGATACTTATGGACTCGATGTAGTTCAAGCCTATATGGGTCACATTCAACACAATGCAGAAGTTGCTGTACGAGAAATGTTAAAAATTGTGGGAAAAAGAATTGTTGATTCAACTGGATCGTCAAAAGTTAATGCCGTCGATTATCTTGACGATGGAAGTGCAATAAAAATGTGTCTAAATATTGATATTCATAATGGAGAAGCTGTTTGTGATTTTTCGTATGTTTTAATGTTATATTGAATTTTTTTTGATTAATATTTAAAAAGTTTATACTATAAATCATTTATTTAAACACATAGAGGTACTGGTTATGAAGTTTGGGGTAATTGGAATGCACCACGTGCCATCACAATTTCAGCATTAATTTATTGTCTACGTTGCATTGTGGGTAGGGATATTCCCTTGAATCAGGTGATTTCTTTATTTTATTTTTTTATGACTCAATTAATCGTATAAATCTTTGAATTACTAATAGACTCGATATAAAATAAAATTTTTTTTCTTTCTATTCTTAATTTGAAATATTTAATTTCTATATGTCAATAAATTAATTTTTATATTTAGGGTTGTTTGAAACCAGTGAAAATAATTATACCAAAAGGTTCATTACTTGATCCATCAGATGAAGCTGCTGTTGTTGGCGGAAACGTTTTAACTTCACAGCGAATTGTTGATGTTGTTCTTCAGGGTTTTGGGGTTTGTGCAGCATCTCAAGGTTGCATGAATAATATAACCCTTGGTACCGAAGAATGGGGTTACTATGAAACTGTTGCTGGTGGAAGCGGAGCAGTAAGATTATTATTATTATTATTAACATTATTTTTTTCATTAGCTTCGAATTTAATAATATTATTTTCAATTAAAATAATGTTAATATATTTTAATGGGAAACTTTTACCTCACGCATTTATTTTGCATCCTATTTAATATAATTTTAGCCTCTGGCTTTTAAATGAAAATTCGTTTGTCGGTGACATTTTCCGTATATATAAATATATATATATATGGGACGTTTCACGTCAACCGGCCCAAAGCTATGTCCAAAATTCTATGCAATAAAAATAAACATGTAATAGATGAAAATACTCGTAAACTCATCCCCTTTCAATTGCAAAGTGGCAGGATTGAAAATTCAAAATGGCGTCCTTACTATGTCAAGTGGAAGCGGCTAACTTGAGAAATAAGTAAATATAATTATTAATTTCTTTTAGAAAATTATGCAAAAATTTTAGGTCACCACATATTTTAATGTTTTTGGGGTCGCTGATTACGAATCTGAAGTCAGTTTTTCAAAATTCAAAATGGCGGATCCAATATGGCGGATTATTTTTTAAAAATTAATTGAATTTGCTTGAAACTTGTTACTCGGGGGTTTTCGAGGTCGCTGATTACGAATCTGAAGTCAGTTTTTCAAAATTCAAAATGGCGGATCCAATATGGCGGATTATTTTTTAAAAATTAATTGAATTTGCTTGAAACTTGTTACTCGGGGGTTTTCGAGGTCGCTGATTACGAATCTGAAGTCAGTTTTTCAAAATTCAAAATGGCGGATCCAATATGGCGGATTATTTTTTAAAAATTAATTGAATTTGCTTGAAACTTGTTACTCGGGGGTTTTCGAGGTCGCTGATTACGAATCTGAAGTCAGTTTTTCAAAATTCAGAATGGCGGATCCAATATGGCGGACGAATTTTTAAAAATTCATTGAATTTGCTTGAAACTTTTTACTCGGGGGTTTTGGAAGAAAAAGAATTTCTCTTTAAGACCACATAATAATTCTTCTAATTCATCCTCTCTCGATAAAATTTTTTTTTCGCGGTGGTTCATCAGGTTTGCTTGAATTCTCTACTGAATTATCTTGGTTACATCTTTTTCTACATTCGTAACATATCCTAGAGAACGGAGAAATCTGAGGAAATACCTTTAGTAAGTTCTTCGATATTTTTCTCAAACCTGATCCCTTATGATTTTCTCGATTAAGGGGATTGATGCATCGATCTCCGTGGGTTGAACCACCAAAAAACTGTTCTTTACTCTCTGACATGATATAAAATGAAATTAGGTACTAAATTTGTGGATTCACTTTGTTAGGAAGCAAAGAAACTGTGAAAAACGAAATTAAGAAAAAAAACAAAAATGTAAATCGAACAATTCACCTTGTCATGAAATGGTAAAACACAAAATGAAAACGCAAGAATGAAAACGAATAACAAAAAAAATCAGTTAATGAAATAATTTAATTTATCAGGAAACGAATAAAACAAAAGAAACGAAACATCAATTTATGTTATTGAATCTGAGTTCAATACTATGAAAGAAATGATCCTCCTTATCAGGAAGCGACAAAGACAAGAAAAAAACGGGTAATCTTTAATTTTTAAGTAATAAATCTCACCAACTCAAGAGTACAAGTAATTTTCTTAAATAAATCACATCTAAAACTATACACGTTCATTTGACACACTAAGGGATCAATAAAAACATTTGAACATCGTGAAAAAAATGACAATCGCTAAAACATATGAAGATCACTAAAACATAAGACCATCGTTATAACCTTTTAGAGGCCAATTCTATATAACTATTTTTACAGTTGATACACTGAGGGATTAATAAAAACATTTGAACATCGTGAAAAAAATGACAATCGCTAACACATATGAAGATCACTAAAACATAAGACCATCGTTATAACCTTTTAGAGGCCAATTCTATATAACTATTTTTACAGTTGACACACTGAGGGATTAATAAAAACAGTTGAACATCGTGAAAAGAATGACAATCGCTAAAACATATCTTACGAAGTCTGAATAAGCTCTTTTATATTTTAGATATCGTCCATGTTTTTACGATGCTCAAATGTTGTTACTACTTACAAGAACATTCATGAAAATAAATTATTATTACAGCCGCATTTAAGAAGTTACTAAAACTCAGTTAATCAGTTAATTATGAAATGTACTGAATCAGACACATTATTTGATTATTCGTTTTCTTCCTTTCGATTTATACAGTTTTTTTGACTCGCAACAAGGTGAATAATTTTATCTACAAATATTGTACCTAATTTTCTTCTAAATCATAGCAGAGAGTAAAGAAAAATTAAGGAAAAGTTGTGTTTAAGGAAGACTTCAGGCATCTCAGAACGCTAGGACTTCAGATTCATAATCAGCGACCTCGAAAACCCCCGAGTAACAAGTTTCAAGCAAATTCAATTAATTTTTAAAAATTCGTCCGCCATATTGGATCCGCCATTCTGAATTTTGAAAAACTGACTTCAGATTCGTAATCAGCGACCTCGAAAACCCCCGAGTAACAAGTTTCAAGCAAATTCAATTAATTTTTAAAAAATAATCCGCCATATTGGATCCGCCATTTTGAATTTTGAGAAACTGACTTCAGATTCGTAATCAGCGACCTCGAAAACCCCCGATTAACAAGTTTCAAGCAAATTCAATTAATTTTTAAAAAATAATCCGCCATATTGGATCCGCCATTTTGAATTTTGAAAAACTGACTTCAGATTCGTAATCAGCGACCCCAAAAACATTAAAATATGTGGTGACCTAAAATTTTTGCATAATTTTCTAAAAGAAATTAATAATTATATTTACTTATTTCTCAAGTTAGCCGCTTTCACTTGACATAGTAAGGACGCCATTTTGAATTTTCAATCCTGCCACTTTGCAATTGAAAGGGGATGAGTTTACGAGTATTTTCATCTATTACATGTTTATTTTTATTGCATAGAATTTTGGACATAGCTTTGGGCCGGTTGACGTGAAACGTCCCATATATATATATAAACGAAAGTTACACAAAACATTTGAATAAAACCTATATAGTGTGATTGTGTGCACTCAGTTAAGTACCAATGTTGCATTCAATAAATCCAGTTGCATTTTGTGCTCATCAAATATCAATTGCAACAGTCCAAATGAAATTTACTCTAACAGAAACCGAATTTCTATATATATGGTATGAAAAGTTTCCAACATTTGTACGGGTATCATGTTTATTATAAATCACGTGTGTCACTGCTGTGTATAATGTCTGTTCAAAATAATTGCTACTTTTCCACTTGCACACATTAGTTTTCAATGTTCTTCAATGTTAGTAATTAGTTTTTCAATTTTCTCTCTTCTGTATGATATGGTTAATGTGCATTTGTATATATATATATGTATATAGAGTGAGAGTCATAATTTCAAATCGATAAATTTAATTATAACCTTTTAGGGACCAACGTGGAATGGACGAAGTGGAATTCACACACATATGACCAATACTAGAATTACAGATCCTGAAATACTCGAATTACGTTATCCAGTTATTTTGAAGAAATTTTCTCTGAGAAGCGGAAGTGGTGGACGAGGAGCTTTTTCCGGGGGTGATGGAGTTATTCGACAATTGCTGTTTAGGTATTACACTTTTGTTTTTCATTTTTGTGTTTAAAAAAAATTTTATAAATTACTTTTTACTTTTATTTATGTACATAAATAAGCAGATTAGTAAATAAAATTTATTTAATTTATTATTAATTAAAATTTATTAACATACAAAGAATCCCTCTGTCTTATAAATTTCCAAAATCCGAAAAATTTTGCGAATTCATGGAAAAATGCGATTGCAAAATTGCAAATAAAAAAGTAATATAATGACAGCTTCGACTAAGTGCTCCCTACCTGCATCTGCCATCTGACGGCGACTGTACGTAATGAACCTACTACCGACTGTCATTATATTACTTTCTTATTTGCAATTTTGCAATCTTCTTTTTTCATGAATTCGCATAATCTTTCAGATTTTTGAAATTTACAAGACAAGGATTCTTTGTATGTTGGCCGATTTTGTAAAAAGTATCAGTATTTCAAAAAAAAAGTATTTAAAATCAATGTTTATCATTTTCACGTTCAATGCTGGTTTTATAGGGCGATAATTAAAAGTCACTTTTTGCAAAAAGAATTTCAGAGATAACAACCTATTTTTGTCATATCTGTTATAGCTTCTTGAGCATCGTGAAAAAATAAAAATAATCCGAAAAGTTTTTATATTTTGTAATTAACTATTTTTATTTATTTCAAATTTTTTCCTATTTCGAAAAAAAATGAAAAAAAAAATTAATTTTCTATACTTTGTAACATATGCTTATAAAATACAATTCACATTTTGAGATGAAAAATATTATCTTTTTTTAGAGGACCAATGACACTCTCCGTTTTAACTGAAAGAAGAGTACATAATCCTCCTGGTCTTAATGGAGGTTCATCTGGTGCTTGTGGAATAAATACTTTAATCAAAGTGAATGGAAGAGTTATTAATTTAGGTGCAAAAACTGCTGTTCCTGTTACTGCTGGAGTAAGTTTTTATTATTATTATTATTATTTTCTTTTTTGAAACCTGATATACTATTCTGCTTCTCGAAAATTAGTTATCAAATTATATGAACTGAGTCTTAAATCTACTTTTTCAGATATTCTAATTATATATTCCGCTAAATTTTTTTCTTTATTATTTGGTTTTTAAATTAAATTTATTTTGTCATTAATTTTTTCTTTATTTACATGAATTTGTTTTCAAGTCTAATTGTTAAATTAATTTAAAATTGAGATTATTTTGAAGTTATGTTTGCCCCTTGATCTGATTTTAAGTTATTACTAGCTTAAATTTTCAAAACTAAATTTTGAGGTTGTCCTCCCTTCTACCTATGATGTTGATATTTAATCTTGTGCTTTGAAGTTATGTTTCTTACATAATTATTATTAACCTAATTTTAAGACTCCCCTAATAACACAAGATATCTTGGGATATATTGATAATATCCCGCAGATATCCTAGGGATGTCCTATGGATATCAAAAGGATCTCTTAAGAATATCCAAAAAATCGTCGGTTTGGATATCCTTTGGATATCTGAGGATATCTTCTGGATATCTCTATAGACTTTCATAAATGTCCTCCAGATATCCCATAGATATCGTCAGGATATTTCACAGATATCATCAGGATATCCCATAGATATCGTCAGGATATCCCACAGATATTTTCAGGATATTCTCAGTATATCTTCTGGACGTCAAGAAGATATTCTCAGGATACTGTTTTTAAAGTCATTATGAGACAACGAGTGAGAATATTCTGTGAATTAAATTTTATATAAATAAAATAAAATGCAACTTGTTTTTCGAGAAAGTTGTTTAATTTGAAAAATTATTAACTAATTTTTTTCTCATTCGTGATTCATTCCTTTATTCATATGCTTAATATTGTCAGAAAATAAATTGGCTTTAAACAATATAAATTCTTCCCCGCAAATAACGAATAACTATTAATATTAATTATACATTAAGTGCATGAGTTTATTTAAAAACTTTGAAAAATGCGTTTCAAATCTTCATTTAAAATAAATTAGAAGCTCATAAGATTTTTGTTTTTATTATGTTATTATTCATTATATTAGCTTAACAATTTTAACCTTTAAAAATATATGTTGATATATTAAATGTCCCGTGAATATCCTAAGAATGTCCCACGGACATCCTGAGGATATCCCATGGATATCCTGCGATATAATATCCAATAGATATTTTGTGGATGTCTTAGGGATATCCTGTGGATATCCTATGGATGTCCTGTTGATGTCCCACAGACCGGCGGTTTGGATATCCCAAGATATCCTGGGGACCATTCTAGGATATCGACCATTGATATGGACATCCTAGGGATATCCTTTTGTTATGAGGGTCTATTGTCGCCCCATGACTTATGACCCTGAAATTTGACAATGATTTTTAAGGTAATTTTTATCTTTATGACCTCAACGACATTTAAAGGCCTAAATTTGAAGTTATATTTCACCCTCGACCAGACCTAAATTTTCTTTTAATTTATACTTAAATTTAATGTTAATATTAAGATAGATTAATAATTAAAACGATATTATTTGGACAAATAGATTATAAATAAACTTTCTGTTATTAATTTTTATTGTCAATTTAAAAAAATGGATAATTTTTGTGGTATTTTTTTCCAATTTTTATTTTATTTATTTATTTTATTAATTTTAATTTTTAATTAAAACTATTTAATTATTCTTTATATAATTCAAAGTCAATTATTCTTTTAAAATGATATGTTATTTAATTATTATTTTGTGATTATAAGTTTTTTTAAAAAATATTTTCTCCAGATACTATTTCTCCAATGTGTAAGTGTTTTTCGATGTTTACTCTATAATAATATTTATATCATGACGATAGTGAGAATGACATTGAATTTTTATGTTCTTCTTTTTTTTGTAATTTGGGATTATTCTTTTATTATTTTAATTTTTCTATATCATTGTTTGTTTGTAATTTTTTTTTTTTTTTTATTTTATTAGACTCCCTGAAGAGGAAATAATTTTGATTTCGAAACATTGACGTAAGGTTATTATAATCTATTTATCCAAAGGTCATCATTTTTATTATAAATCTATCTAAAATTTAATGTATATTCAACAATTTATATATTTGACAAATTGTTTCGTCATTTACATATTTATTTAATGAAACTTTTGACATATTGAAAATGAAAAATATGTTTTATTAAAAAAAAAAAGTATTGCGATTTTGTCAATTTTAAATTGGAAACATTTAAATATGTAAATTTAAATAAATACGAATTGGTATGTTTGAATAGATAAAAAAAAATGTATATTTCAACTGTTTTTACAAGAAAAAAAAAAAAAAAAAAAAAATTAACAATTTAAGAAAATTAACATATTACGTAGACACAAGAATTAAAAGTAAAAGGAATAATGGAAAAAAATTTAAATTCTTTGTTGAAAGATTTCTGATAACTTTTAGTCATAATAAAAGAGAGGGAAGAATGTATAAAAGAAAACAAAGGAGTCGGGTAAAAGATTTGACATTTTATGTTTTCTCGTAAAGATTTTATCTTTCTGGATGAAACCCTTTTTCTTTCTTATCCTACCTTCTGATGTTATGAGACAACATCTGAAGTCATGTACTTCTATATGTGAGCAAAAGAAAAAAAATCAACAAAGTCAGCAATAAATTTGCACATCTCAAAAGTGAAAAGGATTTCACCTGTGTACTGTACATTTTGGCTCTCTCTCTCTATATATATAAACCCAAATAGACTTTAAAATACTACATACTCCAACGTCGACTTTGTAAAATATACTAAAACGGAAAAACGTTCTATTCGCAATATATTACTTTATATTGAGAATAGAAATGTTTTTCTTCTTCACAAATATATAAGGGCATGTCTGATGGATTTTATAGGGAAATATTAATTTTTCTGATACGAGCAGTAATATAATTTACTTTATTGTCTTCAAATATTAAAAATAGAATAGAGTGCAAATACAATAGCAATATTCATCTTTTTTCTTTTTTACAAACAAAAAATTTCTTTATAAACTAAAATTATTATTAAAAACCACATCATAGGAGAACTCGCTTTCAATACTTTTAATATAAAGTCTATCAAAGCCGAGGGGGAATTTACTCTGGTAGTCAAGTGTACACTTGCCTGGTAATACTCGGTAATACCTGTAATATTTTGTAATGTCTTGTAATAATAAGTATTATTGTGTAGTACCATGTAATACTGTGTAATACTTGTAATATTGTGGTATTATGGTTTAATACCATAAAAAATTTAAAGAAAATCAAACCAAAACATGTTAATATAAGTAAAAATTTGAAACCCACATAAGAACTCACAAGAGATCCTGGATGGGATCCCATATGTGTTCTCACATAGGAATTTTCAACAGGGTTGATGGTATCATTTTGGAATGCAACGTTTTGATTCGATATAAGGTATCAAATTGATCCAAATATTTGGATCATTTTCAAGAAATAATCCAGAATATGGGATCATTTTTTGATACCTGAATTGGTATCAAAGTATAACTGTCATGGCTGGCATGCTCTTATTGACAAGTTTATTAATTAATTTATTCACTGCACTGAATATTCAGATATTAAAAATACTTTTATTATGAATTTTAATAAAGAGAGAAGCGAAAACTTATAAATCGCGAGCAATTAAATAAGAAAAAATTTATTTCGAAATAAAATGAAATACACTAACCTTTATTTATATTTATCACATAAGATTTAAGTTAAGTTCACAATCACAACACTTGAAAATTAATTATTTTTATGGTTCAAATAATTATCAATAATTTATTTATTATAAATGAACAAAATTTAACAATGCACGCTTGATAAATATTTCTAATGCGTTGTCAATTAATGCAATTAATAATTTCCTATTACACAATATCATAATCGACATATATGACTTTTGTAAACAAACAGGGATGGGAAACAAGAGCCCAAAATATATTCGTCCAAAGCGAATTTCAATCCTACCCAACTCTGCTTTAGACGAACATATTTGGGCTCTTGTTTCCCAACCCTGTTTGTTTACAAATGTCATATATGTCGATTATGATATTGTGTAATAGGAAATTATTAATTGCATTAATTGACAACGCATTAGAAATATTTATCAAGCGTGCATTACTTTTATAATAAATAAATTATTGATAATTATTTGAACCACAAAAATAATTAAAAATTTTCAAGTGTTGTGATTGTGAACTTAACTTAAATCTTATGTGATAAACATAAATAAAGGTTAGTGTATTTCATTTTATTTCGAAATAAATTTTTTCTTATTTAATTTATCGCAATTTATAAGTTTTCGCTTCTCTCTTTCTTAAAATTCATAATAAAAGTATTTTTAATATCTGAATATTCAGTGCAGTGAATAAATTAATTAATAAACTTGTCAATAAGAGCATGCCAGCCATGACAGTTATACTTTGATACCAATTCAGGTATCAAAAAATGATCCCATATTCTGGATTATTTCTTGAAAATGATCCAAATATTTGGATCAATTTGATACCTTATATCGAATCAAAACGTTGCATGAGTTGATCTTAATTCTTGTATTAATTTGATACACACAAGAAAACTGTGCCGATTTTTAGCGTTTAGCTACCTTACCGGAATAAGTAAAAAAATCGACTACTGTAAAACATCTGCTCCTGTAATTACACCGAAATAAAATACACGATGCTTAGATTGTTTGTGTTCGTGGTTTAAGATAGCAAAAAACCAAATATTAAACATTATAAACATGGATGCTCACGGATATTATAATATATAGAAAATTATATTTGTTCAGTTCCTCGTCCAAAGTTAAAAACAAATAAGTTATATTTATCGTGTTCTTTAAAAGAAATTTCAAAACATTTGAAATAATATTGTTATTTACGTTTTAAAAAAGAGAAATTTATTATTTTCTTTTATAAGTAGGGTAAATGGCACTAATTGCGACGCGATTCGAGTCAAAACACCTTTGAAATAGAAAATTCGACATTTCTATTATATAAACTCAATTTAAGACTTATTCAACTAAAAGGTTATGTTATTTAGATGTTTAAAAAAATGTTTAATTTTATAAAAATCGATTATTTAAACAAATATGAGAAATTAAAACTAATACCGTAATTTTCTATTGCGGCGCGTTTGTATCAATTTCGGTGATCAAAATTACGTGTATTTTGAAGATACTTTGCCCGCCGAAATTGGAGCCAATGGAAATATTAAAAATGTTTCAATTACGGCGAGGGAAAAAATTTGATCTCAAATAATTTAATTAATAATTGTTTAAATGTACATCTTCATTAGTAATTGTATCAAAAAAAGATTAAAATAATTTTTTTTAATCATTTGGCAACAGTTATATTAAATATAATAATACTAATAGTTATTTTTTATGAACGCGCCGTAATTGATGCACTTACCCTAATATTTAAAAATATTTAATTATTTATTTCTCTATTTCTTATTTTAAAGTTTTGCTATTAAATAATAATTTTAAGTAATTTTATTGAAAGTGCTATTTGACGTGTAATATTTTTTGTAATAAAAAGTAATACTCAGTAATATATGTGTAATACTTTGTAATACAGTATTATTTTGGTAGTAGTATGTAATACTTGTAAAAAGTGTAATACTAAGGTAATAATGGTAATATGTGTAGTTGAAATCAAGTGTACACAATTTTTACTAGTAAATTCCCCCTCGATCAAAGCCCTCAATTTGTTATTATCATTCGAAGTCAACAAATCCATCCAAGTAAGCCCATTGGAGAATTTTAAATTTATGTCTTCATAAAATAAATTTCTTAGTACAGTATATACTGGACACTCCCCTAGAATATGAACAATTGTTTCTCTCTCTTTTAGATTAGAAATTGAGCAATCAACTGAAGGATCTATTAAAAATTCTTATTTTTTATATTTAATTACATGTCATCTGATACAAGCAATATTTATTACGCATAAAAGATTTGTCATCAATTTATTAATGTAAATTGAAATAATATAATTATAAAATTAAAAAATCTAGATGAAACTGAAAAAAATAGTAAATAAAAAAAATTAAATATAATTTTTATATTACAATATGAAAATATCTCAATATTTGCAGGATATTTTCATCCTTCAGACACCAGGTGGAGGTGGCTACGGTTTGCCGGGCCAAAATATTCAACATTTTGAAGAAACACAGAAAAGCTTTCTTCAACGTGGTAGCGTTTACGAGTATAAAAGAGCTCAAGAATCCGTTTAACATGAAATACCACACACACTTGATATATATATATATACAAAACTTTTAGAACAAGGAAGAATTAATAAAAATTATAATATATACAAAGCAATGTTGGAGATTATTTCCTAATTTGTATTCGCATTATGATATATTATATATACAAATTAATAAATTAAATTTTTTATTCACCTTTCTTAATTCAAACTGATTTACAATACCTGTACTATTTACTTAAATTTTAAATTTGAGGTAAAATTCCTGAACTGTCACAGGTCCAAAAATGAAGTCTACGGGATCGAGCCAAGATTTTCAGGGATTGTTGTCCTATTGGATAGATCTTCGAATACCAAGTATTGTGAAGTTTTATCAAAACCTGTAGGATGTGGAGGGGGTTGAAATTTCCCACTTTTGATGAACACTCACCTTTTCAAGCCTTTGTAACTTTTTTCCTTTTTGTCGTACAAAAATTTCACTAGAAGGTTTTTTTTAGGTTTTTTTACGTACATTTTGATAAAAATTATTAATTTGAAAAAAAAAATTTTTTTGACCCTTTTTTTGCAAAAATAAAAATAAATTTGTATTTTTCTCGACAAGAGGTATTTTTAATTTTTTTTAAAATATTTTCATTCGAAAGCTGAGATTTTTTCCGATGAAATATGTAATTTCCAGGAGGGCGTTTTTTTTTTTCTTCGAGTAATGAAAAAAAGAGTAAAGAGGTGCACCAAGTATCTCGCGCAACTGATGTGACGCGACATCTGTTTATTCATTGGTATATACAGCATAACTTTACGCTAATAAATTTCATGAAACATTATTGTTTCTCTACTTAATTAATATAATATGTGATTAAGAATATCATATTTTGTTGTATTTTAATAATTGAACAAAATTCATAACGACTAACTGGATTCACTAAAAGAGTTTTGTCAGGTTTTGTCACTCAAAATGTTTTAGTTATATAATATATTTTATTTACTATTTTATATTTTTCTAAATTGAGTTAATATTTCGTTGATACCAATTGAGAGTCATTTATAACGTTTAAAAGATTCATGTTTTCGTGAATGTTATAACATGTAGAACATATAGTCCATTCCAAGTTTCTATAAGGCAAGAGTATCTACACAGGAAAAAATAAGTTTTGTTTCAAACCCGAAAAGAAGCTAGTTTCAATATGGGACACAAACTAGACCGAATATAGTTTCTAACTCGCTCATAGCATAAGTCTTACTTTAAGCCTACTGTAGGGGCTAACAATAAGCTGCCTTTTGAAATAGAAAGTAGCCACAAGCCCGAAACTGGGCTTAAATCAAACCACTGCGCGGTATAAAAATTAGCTAACATAACCTAAACTTTTATGAAACCTGTCAACACCATATTATTGAAATTTTACACAAGTTTTGAAACATCAAACAATATTTTATTGATATAAATCATACTTTATATTATAAAACATATAGAGACCAATTTATTTTTGTATACAATTTATATATTTTTATATTTGTGAGAAAATTGTAATAAAATTATGTTGTATATATAACATTATTTTCACACTCATAACAATTAAAGCTGAATTTATAGGACACAAACAATTCATGATATGAAAATGTTTTATAAACATAGTTTTTAAATTTTTTATACAGGAATGAAGATGTGAGTCTTTTGAATTAATTCATTTAGTTCCGATTAACTATAGACGCGTCACATTTGTGGAAAGGCGTCCATGACACTTTACACTCGGGCACTTTTGTTGTACATCTAGTTACAACTCACTAGTATCTAGACCTCATGGGCTTGATTGAAGACTTTTAACGTCTCATTTCTAGCGAATAAAATTTTGTATTGAGTCCAAGACCACAAAGGCTTGTTTTGAATCTAATAGAACTAAATATTTGTCATATTAATATCTCGTTTTTCATTAAGACCTTAACGGCTTATTTTTAAACCATTATTTGTGATTGATATTAGTTATCAAGTTTAAAGTTTCATTAACTTAGATCCTTGTATATAAAAAAATTTAAAAGTACAGAAGTTCGTACAATTATCGTATTAATAATAATACTTTCATAAAATTTAAAAAATCTTCTTAATCACATATTATATTATTTAAGTAGAGAAACAATAATGTTTCATGAAATTTATTAGCGTAAAGTTATGCTGTATATACCAATGAATAAACAGATGTCGCGTCACATCAGTTGCGCGAGATACTTGGTGCACCTCTTTACTCTTTTTTTCATTACTCGAAGAAAAAAAAAACGCCCTCCTGGAAATTACATATTTCATCGGAAAAAATCTCAGCTTTCGAATGAAAATATTTTAAAAAAAATTAAAAATACCTCTTGTCGAGAAAAATACAAATTTATTTTTATTTTTGCAAAAAAAGGGTCAAAAAAATTTTTTTTTTCAAATTAATAATTTTTATCAAAATGTACGTAAAAAAACCTAAAAAAAACCTTCTAGTGAAATTTTTGTACGACAAAAAGGAAAAAAGTTACAAAGGCTTGAAAAGGTGAGTGTTCATCAAAAGTGGGAAATTTCAACCCCCTCCACATCCTACAGGTTTTGATAAAACTTCACAATACTTGATATTCGAAGATCTATCCAATAGGACAACAATCCCTGAAAATCTTGGCTCGATCCCGTAGACTTCATTTTTGGACCTGTGACAGTTCAGGAATTTTACCTCATTTATGTTTTAAATTATTTTCAAATAAAATTTTTTTGACAATATTTTTATAAGAAATATGATTTTTTTTTTTGCTTTGATTTGGTATATTCTCTCTAAATTTGAATTAGTAAACATTTTGATTAGTTTGAATTAGTGACTCACTTTTTGCTTTTGAATTAGTAAAAATTAATTTAGAAGCAAAAAGTGAGTCACTAATTCAAACTAATCAAAATTTTTACTAATTTAAAAGAAAATATAGTTTACTTTTTACTTCCTCATGAGAAAGTAACGACCCAAAAAAATCTTAGATTTTTACTATTTTTAACTATATTAAGAGGTTCTCAACAAGATTTGAAAAGTTGTATTAACAAAAAGTAGATAACATAACTTCCTAGAACACGTTTCAACGTAACACAATAACAAATATATATATTGTCACGTCACCGTAACTTTAATATTCATATTATAAGAATTCTTTTTTAATCTATACTTCCTCATTAATCATCTATATTTAATCAAATATCCAGATGTATGTGTGTGTATGTATGAGTGTGTATATGTGTGTGTATGTCACAAAATATTGTGTACAAATTATCTCAGAAACGTTTTAACGTATTATCCTGAAATTTTGTATGCTTATTGTAATCATTAATACCTAAAATCTGACACAAGGATTTCCAAATATATTCATAACATTTTTTTTATACAATTTTTTCAAAATTTTTTTTTTCTGTGTAAATTTAATTTTGTTTGGTAAAAAAACTTATTTCTTGCATTAAAATGAATCGATTAACCTATATATAAAGTTCATACTTTACTGAAATCTATAGATTAAATAATTTTTTTGAATTTTTGAAAAAAATTGTTTTTTGTATTTTTTGAAATTACTTTTTCCTATATAGAAATTTTAATTAATTCTTGTCAAAATTGAATTCCTAGCATGATAACGAATCTATTGATGTATATAAACTTAAAATTTTACCAATATTTATAAAATTGATCGCTATTTTAGTTGTACTCTTTCTTTTAATCTTGAATATAAGTGTATCATAATGAGGAAGCTAAATAGTCATGAAATGAAAACCTAGTTTTAAGAAAAGTTTTTACAAAGCTGAAGTACACACAACGTTTATGATAAACGATTTTTAAAGAAATAATTTTTTAAAATGAAAAATTCTATAATTTTTTGCCTAAAAAATATTTTTTTATGTTGAATAATGAAAACTACAAAAAATATTTTTTAGGCAAAAAATTATAGAATTTTTCATTTTAAAAAATTATTTCTTTAAAAATTGTTTATCATAAACGTTGCGTTGCATGATGTTTCAATTTTTGTGTAAGTTCTAATTTGTAACAAAAATTTATATGCTTTGAATATACATCAAATGTTATCTATTTTTAAATTTTATACGACTTAAAATTGTAAAAATTTAAATTTCTTTTTAAAAAAAATTGTCATTTTTAAGAGGTTTAATTTACAATTTAAAATTTTAAACATGTATCGTTATTATTATAAAAATTAATACATAAATTTGTCACACACTTGTGACAAATTATTATCATTGCTCTTCATATAGAAAATTAAGCAACACCTCGTGTGTTAAAATATTCGCAAAATTGCCAAAGTGTATAATTTAATTGAAATTACTATTACAAATCAATAAAAAAAATTAATATTTTATCTTAAAAATATTTTCCAACAATTTTGAATTAGTTTGAAAAAAAAAATTTTTTACGCATTTTTTTTAAGAATAATAATAATTTATTTAGGTCAATTAAGCCAATTGCAGCTTATGAAACCCTGCTGACAATTTATTTAGTTTAGTTAGTTAAATTTTTAAAATTCAAAATGGTGGATCCAATATGGCGGCCATTTTTAAAAATCGTTCGAAATCCTTTGAAACTTGTTGCTCGAAGGTTTTCGGGGACGCTGACTATGAATCCGATGACTACTAGCGCTTTTGCGGGGAAACTGTTGCAACTCAGGTGAGAGATGAATTATTACGAATGGCTCACAAGGAAATTTAAGAAATTCCAAAAAGTTTTATGTTTAGCAGACGAAAAAGTTAAAAAATTCTTGAGTTGCAACATTTTCAAGTTAGAGGTACTCCAAACGCTAATATAAATAAGTATGACGTCGAACAGAAAAGAAAAATAGTCAAAAATTTATCCTGTATCTTTGCAACAATTTTATATTTATAAATCATTAAAAAAATGTTACCAATTTAGAACATTGATTATATATGACATATACAATCAAAACATGAAATTGAATTTAGTGTAAGAACAAGATGGCCGCTGTTTCATTTCCGTTTCTAGTAATTACTGTTGCTTTTAACGGACATGTCAGGATGCGATTTTCAATTACTTTAAGCTAATAACTCATCTTTAATTATCGATTTGATTGAAATTCTCAAATGTAATCTTCTGCGGATCAGAGAAAGAGAAAATTGAAATTTGTTGCATTACAATTGAAAAAGATGAGAATTTATAAAGTATATATTGACTATATATAGT